GTATTATTAATAATTAATAGTTGTTACGATGTAATTAACCTATCTTCTATAGTCCACAATAACATAAACTCTACCGTTAAAAATGTAAATAGTATTATAAGCATGTCTGATATTGGCAAGAAATTTTGAAAGATGGGTGTAGGAGCACAAATATTTTTACTAAATATAATAAATGCGAAATTGCGTTTGTTTGAAGATATTGCCTCATAACAAGTTTGAGTTTTTTGCACAGAGATGGTTTGTGGATCGGAGATACAATACATTAGATGTTGCAGAAAAATAAAAAAGCACGCGTGGGATAAATAATAGTAGACAGGCGAAACGATAACAGATTATATATATTTAAATAAAACAAACAGCCGAATTTAGTATCTCTTTTTCCTTAAAGTCGGTCAAAAATTTTATATATTTTATACCTAGATGATTAATATGTATTTAAGTTTAGGATTTTTATATATGTATACTAGATAGCTATGAAATAAAATAACTATTTCATATCTCACTCTATGTACACTAACTAACTTATATAATTATGAACTGGAAAAAAAGATGTCATAGAATTAAGTAAAGAGTGGACAAAGCCAAAAACGCGTGCACCAGAAAAAGTCCAACTGCAATTTTTATTTTACCATGAAAAGAAATGCCGCACACATTCTCTCTTACAAAAATGCGGCTAATTTGAAGCTTATAAAATACACGGCTCGGTTGACCCCAATACATTTGTTCGTCGGACTCGTGGCAAATAAAATAATCGCTGTACACACACATACGGTGGCTATCGTGAAACGTCACATGAAAGGAAATAAAATAATTAGCGTGACGGACGCATATTGTGTGTAGCTTTCGAGAATCTTTTAAACATTAGTATGTTATATTCAAAGTAAAAATGAATAAAAAGTTAGTATTATAAGGTATATACTATGTACATTAGCAAAAGCACTAGGTAATTATAAATATGTAGATAATGCTTATAATTTTTCATTTTCTCTCTAAGTAATTGTTGGCCTAGATTTTGAGATCATAGTATGTCCTGAAATATTTATAATAATTTTCGTCTATTATAAATGCTCGCTAACGATCGTGTATATGCTACAATCAAAACTACTTTTAACTAAAGAGTTTGGTCAAAAGTAGTTTTGGCTGCAGGCCTTGGTCAGTAGCAATCTTGACTGTCAATATCGGTAAAAACTTAAAAAGTTAAGAAGGTAAGTAGATTGAAGGTTACTCGGAAGAACCCTTTCTTTCTAGGTTAGGTTAAGTCACAACGACTACAACTTTTAGAAAAAAAATGCCTGCAGTCAAAACTGCTTTTGATCAACCTCTTTAGTCAATAGCAGTTTTGACTAAAAAATAGTTTTGGTTGTAACTTATACAATATATGTACATATATCCAGATAAAATAAGTGATGATGTTCTCCTAGCCGATTCCGGCTACGGCGGCCAATCTCATTGAGACTAGCCAACTGCGCAGGAGATATTATAGTGCACAAGTGTACGCGCAGGCACAACGTGCACTCTCTATTCCTGTCACTCTCATACTCCGGTGGGACGACTGTTCGACACGACCGGTGAGAGTTAAGGTGCAGGACCGACAGCTTTACGTGCTCTCCGAGGCACGGGGGTGAAACGCCGCCAACTTCCCAACTCCGGGCTGTTACTGAGGCTTACTATACAGAAAGACTCAATAACTAAACCTGGCCCGACCCGGGATTCGAACCCAGGGCCTCCGGGTGTGCAGCCGTACATGCTAGCCACTACACCACCGAGGCAGTTATATAAAATAAGTATTTATGTTACAACTATAATAAAGTTTTTAGTTCATGATAATTTATTACATACATAATATTAGAGATGCGAAAATTCGTGAGTGAGTGCTTTTGTTACTTCTCTATGCTCTCGAAATATAGATAGCCTATATTCTAGAAGAATACATAGTCTATTTTCATCTCTGTAGTCTGTACCAACCACGAGAGAAGCTGCGAGCAAAAGCTAGTAACATTTAATAATTAATGAAATGTCAGATAAAAAGAAAGTAAATTAAATTCCATGTACAAAAAGACAGGCAAAGAATCCGAAATACGAGACCATATACCTACCGCGTAATTCCACGAGAAACCAAATTAGGGCTACACGCACGTCGTCAATCGATATCGCGTGATTATAGGGAATAATGGCGAGATCCCACGGCTGCCGCGAGGACCCCGACCGCGGACCTTTCGAAGGCTATGTATTAGGGGGCGAGTGATTAGTTCGGCAAAAAATGCGCTCTTTGTGCTCGAACGCATATTGTTCGAAACCCTTGTTTGGTTATTTATTTTCCTTGCAATTAACACTCCTCAAATCTCTCTGTTATGAAGGAAATGAAGATTCATAAACACGTAATATTTTCAAATAAAATATTTACATTTATCTTTTACGGTAAAAAAATGTGTAGTTCCCATCATTTTTGTGCAGATTTAGTTTTAAAAACTTTACTATGTAGCCTCAAGCAAATTCGAACCGTTTGAATAATTTACTGCGTTTTGATTGTTTGCAGCGATCGCCCATTTACATAATTGCCCATTAGAAAGTTTTTGTTTACAGTCGACTTGAATTCATTCACGATCATATGATAGGGTTAGGATATTTATTTTATTTTAATTTGTCGATTATTACACACATTATAGCCTAGCCATAATATAGTGCCATCAGCCTAGTGCTATATTTTTATTAGTTTTACTTAATATTATTTATTATTTGGAAACTTATATAGCTAAGTTATAAAATTTTAAGTTATATTTACCATATTGCCTTTAAATACAGTAGTTATATAAGTAAATCTTAATGTCAGACTTGTAACAGTCTCACAGATAAAGGCACCGCCTTGGCAACTCATCAATAAAGGTCCACACGAAATTCCATCTCAAATATCTTCGACGGCCCCTGTTTGTTCGTATACACGCAAAATCCCTCTAAAGGTACGCCGCGGTCTCTAGACATGTGCGGGACATAAATTTGGCGAGCGTTACGTAGGTACGTTGGTACAGGCCGGTCGCTATGTACAGCAATACATAAGGAGCTATATACGGAGTAACACGGGCGTCACTTATCCGCGTGGAGGATGCGGTGGCCGTCCGATCGCCCCCCAACGACCCCCAGCGGGCGCCCCCACCCCCCGCGATTCATTAAGTCGGGCGCGGCCGAAGCGGCGGACGCGTCGCGGAGTCTCCGTGAATTCAAATTAGAGGCGGCTCGGACGTCGTGCGCTAGGGATGGGATAAACTGGGTTGAGTATCGATTATTGAAATTATTCTGGGATGGAATAATCGGTTATTAAAATATGTCTTAAGTAATATTACATATGAATGTCTGTTTACCACATGTAACTAAACAACTATTAAATGTATTGGGTTTTTGATGATTTAAATTTTATGAATTGAATTATCGTATTGGAAATAAATGATGTCTTGATAATTATATGTGTATTATTTATCTGTTCTTGTATCTGCATTACTGCTCTATTACATAATCATATTCGATTTAAAAAAAATTATACCTTTCATCACCTCATCATCAATATTTACACTATTTTCCGCATACAGTACTTTTACAAATATTTATTGCTATACTTTTGTATCCACAAAACTACCTACATACTATACCGGAATATATTTAAAGCACGTAAGATAAACAACTAAATTATTGCAAAAAATATAAAATATAATTTATCGATAATCCAAAAAACATTCACATCCCTATCGCCCCTTTGTCTCGGTAAGACAGACGCGTTCGTAGCGGGAGGCGGCGGGCGGAGGGGCGCACGTGCCGGACGGAAGTCGCGCAGGGCTCAAGCCGCACCGCGCTAAATGATTCAAAACTCGCCCGGACCTGCAAGATTTATGCCCCTACCCGATCCCGCCTAGATTAAAGATGTCGCGCCTTTATTGAAATACGCTAAAATATTCCCGAAGGCGCTCGACCAACTGCCGGCGCCTAGCCATCCATTCACATTCAACTCTCGTACTCATTTCATTCAGATCTTTATTGTTTGTTTTTCCGTCAGTTCATTATGATAAAGCACTCGGTTTATCATAAACATTTTTTTTTTGTTTTAAGTGATTACAAGCCACTAGTCACACACGAATATATTGTAATTATTGTTCCACTTTTTAAATTTTAATCAATTAAGCCCAAATCAGTGAAACAAAAGTTTTCAAAACTATATAATTTAATCATTAGAAAATTATTCGTTGCTTGCGAAATATATAAACATTGTCTATATTTTTTACAACAACTTTTCGCTATATAAAAGTAATGGACGAAATGAATGTTGCGAAGTAAATTAAAAGTTACCCGTAGTTGAGTCAACGACTGCGCGAAGTTTGTTTGAGTTAGTTGGCGACAGAGGCCAATATGCAAATGTGAACTTTCCCTCTTTCGCCGAGGTGGCAGGACAGAGGAGCGCTGCACTTGGCCGATTTACGACCCTCCCGAGCTTTTCAATTGGAATTCACGAGCATTTCTATACGCCGTGCAACGTCAGATTAGTTTGCTTCGTCTGATGTATACTATGCCAGTATTCAGAGCCATCTCTAGCAGATATATATATATATATATATATATATATATATATATATGTGTATATATATATATATGTATATATATATAAGTTTTAAAAACATTGTTTATATTTAATATATTAATTAATACACTTATTATGCATCACAAGGCAAGGCTTTTCGTAAAAGAATATTTTGCTAAAAATTAAACATTTGTTGATAGCAATCCTAAGCATAAAATAATATATTTATAGTATATATATGAAGATAATGAATAATTACTCGTATATTAAAATTGAAATCTCCATATTCTGGTGGTAGATACCTCTATACGATAATAGCATGTAAGACGAGTTACACCTTGCAAGCCGTCTTAGTTTATTTCAGCTATTCGGTTTCTCCTAGCAAGAGAGATCCTACGCTCGAGTAATTAACGTGATTGCAGCTGTCTCATATGTACTAGAATTGTGTTCTAGGCCCAAGGCTAAGATTCGATGTGCAATGAACTCGAATTGGTTGTGCTAAATACGGAGCTAGGTCGGATATCAAAGCAATCTGCCGGGCGGAGAGTCCGAGGCGCAATTCGGGTCTGCTCCTTGCGCATATTGCATGCACGTACCAATGAAGTTTGCTTTGTAGGCGGTAATCTGCGGGGGTGTATCGGTCCTGGGTGGTGGGTGGCGGGTTATGTACACACGAGCCCGAGGCGTCGAGGTAGGCAAATGGCCGGCGAGGCGGGCTCGTAGGCCGAGATCTCGAGCGATATCGATCCGCGGCCGGCCCGACGCCCGCGGCCGTTCGTCGCCACGGACACGACTCGCGGCGGGAGGGTGGCGCCGCGTGACAAAAACACTCCTTTGTTTGACGACGCGACGACATGAACCCAACTCAGGGAACCGCTCGAGGAATGGAGACGTTATAAAAACTAGCTACGGCCACCTGCACGCAATTCTTATTTTACACACAAACAGACCATAGAATCTATAATGCTTACGAATACTATAAATAAACATTCGATAAAATAACTACGACAATATAGTCGGAAGTTATAATGGAAATAAAAATAATTAATAATATATAATTATCGATGTCGACAAAAAAATAAAAGTGTCGTCACTAATTCACGTCGCGACCGCGCGGCGGCGGCGGGTGGTGCAAATCATTCTCGCGTACTACCGTTCTTGAAGAGGACTCCCTCTTGGCTACGAGTTGCAAATTTTTTCTTTTTATTTTTTTATCGATAGCTTACTTTTTTGGGTACTGCAACAAAATTTCAGCCTCAATATACTTATGTTAGTATTGCACATTACATATCGTTCGCATAATATATCCAATTAAACATTTATCAAACAAAATTAGAATTTATTTTCACCAATACACATTACATCTGATATTCTAAAATAAATAAGAAAGATAACTATCATAGGTATACTTTAATATAGTGTAAGCATAAGATTATTTTCTTAGAATTTACAAATATCATCACAATGATACAGGCAAAATCAAAATATGTATAAATAGATGCATATTACGATGTTTTAATCGTGTCAAACTTGCAACAACAAACTTATAAATTATTCGCAAAACATCGATAACACCGAAAATGTCGCAGCGCATTCAATTAGAGGCGGTTCACGGTTTTCGCATGAGTGGCATCCGAGCGTCGCCAGCGGCGTTGCCAATCGATACTTACCATCGATAACGATATGCGAGCGGTGCACATCTCTAGAGCGAGCGTCTTGTTCGAAATTCGAATAACGCTTGGTCAAGCGCAACTCAAAGCGTGGAACGTGGAAGGTCTAATTTGTGCTTGCAATGCCGTACCCGTATTCTGGGCGAGCTTTGCAACGGAATATTATATGCGGTACTTGCTTGTTTAGTGGCTTTTGTGTATTAGCCGGGTATTTAGATGATATTTTTCACGTTTTACGAATATAGATCGTTAGTTTAGTAATGAATAGGTTCAAGAGTATTGTACGATTTATTATTACTTAAGTATTATGAATTATTTTGTTGTTAAATTGTTAAGTTTTTGTTTAGAGCTAAATAATACTATTTAAGTGACAGTATTAATATTATATACATTTTGATTAATTCCACTTTAAATGGAATAATTAAAAAATTAATTAAAAAAGATTATTTATTTTATTTTGACTTTGATTTTTACTATTCATATAAACCATCACAGATCGCAGATTCAATTTCATTCCATATATAATTAATTAATGATACATTTTTCGTATTGTCTGAATCTTACAAAATATATTGAACTAAAAGACAACTTTGTTTTTTTTCTTGAATATGAATATATTAACTATATAGCAATGGTCAGTTTTATTCTACTTATAATATTATATTGAATATCTTAATTCTTTTTCTTATTCTTTAAATTTTTCATTTATGTGTCTTCAGTACACTGAAGGACATCGAAACATTTATTGAACAAAAATTACTTGTATATAAAATGAGATCTCTATCCGAGCGCTCTCCGTACATGCTAAATTTCATTCACATAGTTCTAAAACACTAGAAACGACAAGGGTGTGACAGACGGACATGATGGGAGTATATTGCGTGCTCTCGCACTTTTGCTGGAAATTCTAAAAATGTCTTAACACAACTAGATAACATGTTTAAGAAAGTTTTACTCTTTCTTTTTTCATTTCATTTTATTCTTTTTTTTTCAATTGAATAATTATATTATTGAAGATATTTCAATATTATTCATTTGATTATTATTATTATTGCCTGATTTTCTAACTATCTCAAAAAAGTCATTTAGCAAACCAAATGAACATCATACAATGGAATCAATTTATTTATAATGTCTACAGTAGTTTTATTAATTAATGCTATATTTTATCACACAAAACACAGATGTCTTCAAAAAAAATTGTAAGACATTTTTATAAGTGTGCGATGTTTTCCTTCAACATTAGTTTTCACTCGCTTTTAAATATAAGGCAACCATATACTGTACAATTATATAATTGACTAGCGACTCACTCTCGCTCTGCTCGGGTTCGTCCCTACTTACGTTTTGAAGTTTAGTATAGATTTCTCAGAGAGGTGATATTATCTCGCAGTAAAAAGTATCTTATATATTAACCCGGATAATCCGCTATTATCATACCAAATTTCATCAAAATCCGTCCAGTGGTTTCTCCGTGATGCGGTAACAGACAGACAGATAGACAAAACATCTAAAAACTATAGATTCGTCCTCTATATCGATAATGATGACTCTTTAAATAAGATTTTCCAAAAAATATTTAATTTACAGATTCGACGCAGTTAGAATTTTATTATATGTAGTATGTCAGTGAATGACTTCCATATAAAAAAAAAGTTTTTCATTAATCTTTTGTTGTTTTACTGGTATAATTTAAAGGCAAGTTTTATAAACTAGCAAAATATGCAAAATTGAACGAATAAATCAATGAAAACTTCTATGTGTATGTAAATAAACAAAGAACTAATATAGCCTCAATTTCATTCTGAGTTGATAGGGATGCATGCAGATAGAGCGCCAAGAGTGCGATCAGATCAAAGTGAGATTTCATACTTTTTTATCTTTGCAACTCTTTTTATTTTATTTCTCTTTGATTATTTACGAATCTAACGTCATAGAGAATATTTCTCTAGCTTATGCTGCATCTATGTTCCTAAATATAGATAAATAAAATATTATATGTACTTTGATAAAAAGTTTTTATTAAAAATACTACAGTTCAAGATTTAAAAAAAAAGCCAGCTGAAGGTTAATAATAATTTATTTTGATCTTGTTATTGGTACATATTACTCGTGAGGACGCTTTTGTCGGATCATTAATTCTATAGAACTCTAAATTTTCGAATACCTTATCAAATAATCTTTAGATTAAAGTAAATAACGAGCTGGTGGTACTAAAGTGTGAACGAACAAGCGTCGATTCGACGTGTTTGACCTATGTATCCTGTTATAACTACCATTATCAGTCTTTTTAAAGAGGAAGAAGTTGGGCGTGAAAACGAGTCTACTCGCAAAAATTAAACTTGATAATATCTAAGGGTTTACAAAAATTATCTAAGGGATCTTGGAACACTAGCAGCCAAAAGTAAATTGTCCCAGTTCGCAATATTTGGCATTTCTTTGTTACATCTGTTAGGAATTAAGCACTTATAACGTGTGTAATATGACTGATAGATCAAAGCTGGCAGGGGAAGAACTCAATACGTATCGATTTAATCGTCATATATGTTCAGCGATTTTTAGTGGTTTCAAATTTATTTCGATTTTAAAAACTAAAACGTAAAAACCAGATTTTAGACTAAACTTCGCAAGTACAGCTGAAGTGTTAACTATATGATACTGATTTTTTCCCTAAAGAATTGTAAAAATGGGGCAATTTTTTACTAGTGATTTTTGCTAAAACTTCTCCAATCTATGAAAACTTGATTCTGCGAATTTTATTTATCTAGGACCTAGGCTTCATTTGAAACATTGTATTCAAAGAGACACTAAAATAATTACTAGATACCTACTTTAAATAATAAGTTATTAAAACTTCGAGACTTAGCGTTTGTAGATTTAATTATTAATTATTTTCACGCTGAATTAATTGTCTTTTCACAAAGCTTAATATTTATATCTATACCTATACATATAATAAAATTGTAACCAAGCCGAATTAAATATTTTTTGGATTTTTTTTTTTGAAATAGACATTATTATCGATACAGAGATCGAATTTATAGTTTTTAGAATTTTTGTCTGTCTGTTACCGCATCACAGAAAAACTACTGGAGGGATTTTGATGAAATTTGATGTGATGATAGCTGGTTATCCGGATCAACATATAGGATACTTTTTACCGCAGAAAAATATCTCTTTTCTGAGAAAAAATAAAAAACTGCAATGTAATAGTATACTAATATGTAAAACCTAAGAATTTGGTTTTTGGTGATCTGGACGCGGGTGGAGCCGCGGGCAATGCTTGTAATATGTATAATGTATATATAAAACAAAGTCGGATTTGTTACAACACTTATAACTTGAGAACTGCTGGACCGATTTCTATGATCTTTATTTTATTGGATTTGTCTTCACCCCGAATAGCAAAATAACTATATATAAAACATCGGAAAAAGACACGAAAACAAATATGGAAAATATATCTTTTCCATACTAAGCGTCAAAACGTACTGAGGGACGAACCTAAGCGAAGCGAGGGTGAGTCGCTAGTACGTGAATAAAAGATTAATAATCGTTTTATTGTAATATTGTACTTTATATAATATACTATCACTACAGTATATCCTAGGTTTAACGTAGCGCTAGCGCCATACGGTCAGCGCCATCTATTGTTTAACATATTTTATACCATCAAATGAAATCGCACATCACACGAGAACGGCTCGTTCTATTTTGATAGGAATTTTGTGTTTACAGTAACTTAATGGACTCAAAAATATAGCTGTTTCTTATATGTCTTGAGATTCATTTTTAATGCATGTAGGTACTTCTTTATAAGGCAATGTACTAACACTACTACTAAGTAATTAACTAAATAGGTACATACATATATGTACATGTAAGTGATGTCGCAGGCAGAAGCTTGTATTATAATAATATTTTATCGCATAGATGGATTAAAGGCAAATAATTACATCTTCGATCTACATATTTTCCATTAAATATAGTTTATTTAGTGACTATTACTATTCGTGCAAGTGAAAATATAATCAATACTAGCATTGCCCGCGACTCCGCAAGCGTTCAGATGACCAAAAAGCAATTTCTTAGGTTTTACATATTAGTATACTCTTACAATACAGTTTTTCTATTTTTTCTCAGAGATGAGATATTTTCTCGCAGTAAAAAGTATCCTATATGTTGACCAGGATAACCAGCTATCATCATACAAAATTTCATAAAAATCTGTCCAGTGGTTTTCTCGTGATGCGGTAACAGACAGACAGACAAAAAATATAAAAACTATGGATTCGGACTTTGTATATAATATTTAATGTACAGATTCGACTTAGTTACAATTTTCAACCGACTTCAAAAAGGAGGAGCTTCTCAATTCGACTGTATGTTTTTTTTTTATGTTTGTTACCTCAGAACTCCGTCATTTATTAACCGATTTGGACAATTTTTGTGTCGTTTGAAAGTGTATACTTCCAGATTGGTCCCATTTAAATTTCAAAAAAAAACCACCCCTAAGGGTGGAAAAATAGCTAATGATGAATTTAACCTACTTCTAATTGTCATATTGACTTGAAACTTTGCAAGTGTTTCTATTTCCGTTGATAGTACAGTGGTTCGGTATTGTTGACCTGATCTGATGGTAAGGCCAGAAGGTGGATAGGTCGAACTCTTCAACGGCCAATAGTAGATACTTTGAGTTTGGGCTTATTTTGTTTGATTTGACAAGCCTAACACGTTAGAATTCTTACTTTGCTACTACTGTCTACACTAAAAAGGGAAAAATAAAAACTTTTTAACAAAAAAATAAAAACCGACTTCAAACAAAAGCACTAAAAAGTAAAAAAATAACTGATTGGTAGTTTTCATTTACTATACATACCTAATCAAATATTTCCAATATTTAATGTACAGATTCGACTTAGTTACAATTTTATTATAATCAATATGACGCCATATGCATTATATGCTTTTATAACAATAAATGTTCAATAACAGTTATAAAGCTGGAAACGATACGCCTTTTTAAAACTTTATGCAAATTAGTTACTCTTAGTGTTAGGAAGCAGTAGTCTGACCGTGGAAAATTAACACACGGCGGAAATTTACCTACATAATATATTAATACAAAACAAATCTATCCCACGGGAACCGTATACTTTTCAGAGATAAAAAGTAGTCTATGTGTTATTCTAATATATGAACTATATTATTGTAAAGTTTCATTAAAATCCATTTAGTAGTTTTTGCGTGAAAGAGTAACAATTAGCAAACATCCATAAATTCAGACCTTCACAAACTTTCGAATTTATAATATTATTAGGATGTTAATAGATAAAAATTAAAATCCGTTTTCAAAATTACCAAGTTGAAAAAAATTATTAAATTCTCAAAATATCAGAGTTGATATAAAAACAAATGGTTGGTTTTTATCACGTAATATATTTAACCGTTTACAGGTGAAAATCAATCTACTGCTTATAACATTTAAATATTTTCGATACATCATATAAAATGTAAGAACAAGAAAGTAACGGTACTAAATCTGGAGTGCACAGTGAAAGACATATTTCTGCATAAGGTATGCTTATGTTGACCATTCAAAATGGTTTCCCAAGTGGAGTAGTCCAAGGGTGGTCCACAGTGCCACCCAACGCGTATAACCAAAAACCAAGCGGAACGTAGAGAACGAATATCATGGTCCATGTTTGTTTGTTTTCCTTCTGTTTAATACTTTTTAGGGTTCCGTACCCAAAGGGTAAAACGGGTCTCTATTACTAAGATTGCGCTGTCCGTCCGTCTGTCTATCTGTCTGTCTGTGCGTCTGTCACCAGGCTGTATCTCATAAAGCGTGATAGTGAGTTGAAATTTTCACATGTGATATATTTATGTTGTCGCTATAACAATAAATACTAAAAAACAGAATAAAATAAATATTTAAGGGGGCTCCCATACAACAAACGTGATTTTTTTTGCTCGTTTTTGCTCGATATTGATAACGGCAGCAGGTAGACGCTTGAAATATTCACAGAATATTTAGTTATATATTCACTTTCAAAATAAATAATTAAATTAAAATAAAAGAAATATTTAAGGGGGACTCCCATACAACAAACGTGATTTTTTTGCCGTTTTGATAGATAATGGTGCGGTACCATTCGTGCGCGACTCCGACTCACACGTGGCCGATTTTTTTAATACTACTGCCATAAGGTTTTAGAAACGATTTTTTTAAATATTTCCTATATATATATATATATATATATATATATATATATATATAGACGACACGTTTGGCTCAGTTTGTAGTGACCCTACTTGCTGTGCCAGCGGTCGCGGGTTCAAGTCCCGCTGGGGGCATTCATTCGTGTGATGACGAATGTTGGTACTCCAGTCATGGGTGTTTATATTTACAATATGTATGTATTTAAAGTTATTTATGTGTAGTGTATCAACTATCTGGTATCCATAACACAGGCCTCGCAACTTACCATGGAACTAGATGGTGCTGTGTGTTAATGTCCCAACATTTTTTTTTCCTTAGAGCTACAGCTCTGATACATCATTACGAAATGACGAAATTAGAATGGTATTATATATTTATTTATAAATAAGTAGGTACCTACTTCTTAAAAGCCAACAAAAGTTGATATAGGTTTTTGACCGTTGAAATATTAAACTACTAACTTTTACCTTCATTCGTACCTTTATTTCACCGAAAGACAGTCAATAAACTAAAACACCGAACACCACTTTAACTTTCAATAGCCAGCAATCGTACTTGGCAAACAACAAAAAGTCAGAATATTAGGGGGTGGGGGGTTGGAAAAAAAAAGAAAAACGGACAGTGAAAGTGTTGAAAAGTTTTCAGCGAAAAGCGAAAGCAGCAAGTCGAAAAGTTTGCGCCAACCGACTTTGTTTTCTCACAACTTTAGATTCAATTTGTAGGCTAAGGGTGCCGCCCACCACCCCGCTCGCCGCCCGCCCTTCCGTAACAATGAACCGTTTATGATTCTGTTCGGAAAACAATCCTTGTTGTTTGTTCTCTTCGTTTTCGAATTCAAACATTTCAAATTATTCTTCATGCATAGTAATTATTTTGCCGTCTATGAATTTCAAAAATTTCAAAGACAATTTGCGAATAACTTTCTAAGTGACGTAAACATTTATTATATACGAGCTTTCGATTTTTATCAAAAGCTTGACTGTTTTTAATATTATTAATTGTACAATGGAATTGTGTCTACATTTTTGTCTACATATAACGCCATCTATTAGTAACTCAAGGAATTCTTTGCTCATGTAGTGTCAAGAATTAAGTGTTAACTAATAAAAGAAGGTATGTTGGTATATAGAGTACTAGCATTGCCCGCGGCTCCACCCGCATTCCGATGACCAAAAACCAAATTCTTAGGTTTTACATATTAGTATACTCTTACAATGCAGTTTTTGTATTTTTTCTCAAAAATGAGATATTTTCCGGCGGTAAAAAGTATCCTATATGTTGACCCGGATAACCAGCTATCATCATACCAAATTTCATAAAAATCTCTCTAGTGGTTTTTCCGTGAAGCGGTAACAGACAGACAGACAAAAATTCTAAAAACTATAGATTCGGCCTCTGTTTCGATAATAATGTCTATTTCAATAAGATTTTCCAAAAAATATTTAATGTACAGATTCGGCTTGGTTACAATTCTATTATATGTATAGATAATGTATATTAGAGTGTTATATATTTGTGTATCTATATATATTAATTAAAATTTTTATCCTACAGCCAGAGCGTATAATATCGCCCTACACTGCGATCATAAGACGCAGTGGTAATCCATTCGAGCTAGCCCATGTGCTGGTGTCCTGGCTGATAGGTGCCGGCTACGACGCGTATGTCGTGGTCGGGTGCGCTGAGAGAGACACCTGTATGGCCATACGGTACAGGACTATTTGTCCCGAAATACCTGATGAGACGGAGGTAAGGAAATTGTTTGAACAATTTTTTTTTGTTAAGTCATAGTTTAGGTAACCTCTAGAAGAAATCTTATCTAGCCAGCCTATAATTTATTTATCTATATGTAAATATAATAAAATTGTGACTAAGCCGAATCTGTACATTAAATATTTTTTGGAAAATCTTATTAAAATTGACATTATTGTCGATAAAGAGGCCGAATCTATAGTTTTCAGAATTTTTGTCTATCTGTCTGTCTGTCTGTGACCGCATCACGGAAAAATCACTGGATGGATTTTGAGTAAAACCTAACATTGAATCACTAATAGAAGTAAGTGTAATACCGACTTTTTTTTTGTAAAAATATTTTAATTTTTGAGCTGAAATCTAGCATCGTAGGTTTTATAGAAACTAATTCAAACCAAAGTTTTCATTAAAAATCTTAAAATTACATGACTAAAATCATAAATAGTACAGCTACTTTCAAATTGTTCCGACTCCTAAATAGGTCGTTTGGTAAACTTTAGAATAACAATTATAGAATAATAACAACATCAAAGCAAGACAGTAGTAACTGGTAGCCCAGCAGTAACGCTGTCGCTTGGGAGTGAAGCGGGTTCAAATCCAGGGTCTCGCACCTCTGATATTTTCATGTGCGAATAATTTCTATCATGATTACCACTTATCTTACGGTGATGGAAAACATTGAGAGAAAGCCTGCATGTCTGAGAGAACCTAGCAAAATTTTCGAAAGACACGTACAGTCCGCCAACCCGCACTTGCCCAGCGTGGTGGACTATGGCCTGATTCACCTCGTATTTAAGGGAGACCCGTGCCCAGCAGTGGGACGTTAAAAAAGGGTTAAAATAACAAGATCAAAAATAAGTATTCTACAGTTTTAGAAATAAAGTGTAAAAAAACAGGTGATTGAAGAACCACCGCCACCTGAAGAGGAGCCTCGGTACCGTCTCGTCCCTCTACCAGACCTAACTTCGAAGTACTGCAAGGAGATGGACAAAAAAGAAGCTGACAAGCAACAAGCTGAGTTGAATAAGATAGAAAACGAAAGATTAAGGAAAATTGCGGTAAGATATGTATTTTTCACTAATATAATAAACAATAGTTAAAAATTTTAAAATATATAATTATTTAATATATTGAACTCCTAAAATGCGTATTCCCAAAATGTTTGTAAGTAACTCTCTATATGTTTAAATACATCAAAAATCAAATTTCGCATAACAAAAAAATGTTATTATGGTATTTTAACATTTTGGAAAAGTAAAGTTTAATTTTGGAATGCATATTTCTTAATTCGTAAGATAATTTGTTATGAACCAACTGACCAGACGTTATTCTTTAAAAATATCTTGTGATATTTGGGTCCATACAATAATCCTATGAAAAAAATTTTGAATTGGACCTGTTCCATCTGTGCCAAGTTCCAATCAAATCCGTTCCACTGTGGATAAATGAGTTTACCTAAATAATACTTTTTAATTCTTTATCGTATTCTAACTATCCAGGAGCTAGAGAAGGCCCCAGCAGATGACATCGACGGGTGGCGCACACACTCCTGGGTGCTCGTACTTCCTGGCTTCAAAGGCATCGAAGAGCCATTCTTTATTGAACCTAGCGAAGGGAATTCGTATCCAACAAATGCATCGCAATACCAGTCTCTTGATAGTGTTTATAACAATGAGAATTACTATGTGAGTATCTAGTTTGTTGGTATTTAAGAAAATAATTCTCTTTAAATATTATATTATGACTTATTGCCCGCGGCCCCTCGCGTTTATCGATAAGCCTTCTTTCATTAATAGATTTTTTCAAATATCTGTAGTAGTTCCAGAGATAGGAGCATTCGAACAAAGAAAAAAACAAACTCTTTAGCTTTATAATATTAGCTCTATAATCAGGCATTTTAAGAGATAGAAAATAGAGTTTTTATTCTCACAAGGAACAATAATATCGTAGTTCGTACTAATTCTTGTATGAAATTTTCTATCTCTTTAAATTACTTTATAAAAATTCAAAGTACGATTCAGATATCATGGGAATGATATCAATCAGCATGGGGATAGTGGGTTCCGTTTAAGGGCCTTTTACGCAGGTATCAAGCTAGCGCATGACTGATTGTGCCTCAATTGTGAAAATATATTTATTTCGTAGAGACACTAGGCTTTTGCCTCACTATATATTATGACTTTACTCGCTATTTACATTTACACTTTTGCTAAATCAAAGGTCACATGTAATTATAGCAAATAAAGTTAAAACTATACAAAATGTACAATATTTTTCTACATATAAAAAAATGTATATACTAAAGTATTACTTAGAATATTATTAGTCGTCCTGTACTATTCAGGTGAATCTTCAAACTGTGGATAATCTAGGCGAAATCAACTACGACTTAAGCGACTTATCGTGCTGGGAACACTTGTTGGCCGGCGAACCTTTCTATAGAAGACAATTAGTGGGCGTCGACTGCTCTGATAAGAAGAGCGCAGTCGATACTGAAAAACACCTCGACGTGCCCCCTAGTTGGGTGGAGAAACTGGATATCACAGCTGACGGTATGATCATTATATTAAATACTAGCTTTTCCAACGGATTTGCCTGTGTCCATAACTTTTAAACACGTTTTTTGTATTATAATATTAAACGGTGTAGAGAAGAATGTTCTAGCTATGTAATAATAATAATGGTCTCCTGACCGATTCCGGCTACGGCGGCCAATCTCATTGAGACTAGGCAACTGCGCAGGAGATATTATAGTGCACAAGTGTATGCGTAGACACAGCTGCACTCTCTATTCCTGTCACTCTCATACTCCGATGGGACGACTAATCGACACGACCGGTGAGAGTTAAGGCGCAGGACCGACGGCTTTACGTGCTCTACGAGGCAAGGGGGTGAAACACCGCCAACTTCCCAACTCCGGACTGCTACTGAAGCTTACAGAAAGACTCAGTAACTAAACTTGGCCCGAACCGGGACTCGAAATCAGGACCTCCGGGTGTGCAGCCGTACATGCTAGGCACTACACCACCGAGACAGTTACTATGTACATTGTACTATTATAAAAAGACCTCCCTCCCTCTTCATCCTATTTACAAAGCGAATATGCTCACAATTATTAATATTTATCTGAATTATAATATTTATGTGAGTAAGCAAAGCTATGAGCTCGTTACATTTCATTAGATACATTTGTAAATGTTAATAATGATTATCTAACAATTAAAATAACAAAAAAATATATGTATATGTACGATTATGTGCGTTGTAATCTATAAAATAGGACAATTTAATTATAAACTGCCTCTATTTTCAACACATTTTTTGATGTTCCAGAATATGAACAAAGATACCCCGGTAGCCACAAAGTGATTCATTATAAAAAAGTTTTATTGGAAAAGTTCGCACCATATTCAGAAAGAGATGGAGTCGTCAAACGGATTAAGATTTTTGATGATTATGCCCTAACTGTGCCACTTGTCACGTATGAATATTAGCATATTTTATATTTGTAACTGTATTTAAAATTATTTCTGTATGAGTTCAAATAAACAAAATATAAAATTTAAAAGTATAAGGATGTATGTTTGTGTCGACATATAGGCAAAATAATATTCGTATACTTGTCTGGCTCTCTCCGATATGCTCGTTTCCTCACAATGCTTTTCTTCACCGTAATATTAAAAATGATTCGCATATGAGAATATTACAAATGCAAAACCTGGGGTTGGTTTATCAAGCGAGCGCGTTACCACTGGGCTACCACTAACGTTTTATATTTTTAATAATACATATTAATTTTAATAATTAATATGTTGGGACATTAACACACAGCACCATCTAGTTCCATGGTAAGCTACGAGGCTTGTGTTATGGATACCGGATAGTTGATACCCAACATATATAACTTTATATATATACATATTATAAATATAATATGCATATATTTAAATATAAATATAATGAATCCCAGCGGGAATCGAACCTACGACCGTCGGAACAGCAAGTATGGTCACCACATACTGAGGCAAACGTGTCGACAAGTTTATACTTGTATATACATTCATGAGCTTTATTAACAACATTGTTATTTTACATGTTTACTCGTATTCGTATCGATTATATTCTAAATAAAGCTTTTTACTTAGCAGATCGAATAATTTTCAGTTAAAAGTCCGTTGAAAGCCTTAGTTATTTGTTCATGTTAAAACTGTTATCATTTTTACAAGAGCATCATAATAAATTTTCAGTTACGAATGGTACAAAAATCGTGTGGACAAGATGGAAACTGTCAAAATTGATCATCTAAAGAAAGAAATACGAGAAATATTTGGAATTGGCAGACGAGATCACATTTTAAGTAAGTACCCTATAGTTTATATAAAAAAAAATAATGGATAATATTTACAATAATATAATACCAATACAAGTACTTTGTATGGATCATACAAATGTTTGCACAAAGATAAAAAAAATTGTCAAAATATGTATACATACTTAGAAATTTTAAGGTTGATTTTAGAAAGTAAAAATTGTAGGTATATTCGTCCATATATATTTTTAGCTTTTCTATTAGTATAAAAAAGACTTATATTACTAGAAAATAAATAAATAAAATAGTATTTTGAGTTAATCCTATTTTGGCTTCTGAAGTATTTATTTAAAGAATAACTAACAAGTATATTTTCTTCAATGAACATTTCGACGACATGACGTGTCGCAAAACGCTGCTCTAAGCCCGCATGTCCTTTGTACGTTGTTACTGCAGATTTTGGCTATAGAATCTTGTAAGCTTAAGTTTGTCAAATTGTGAAATTAGAAACCAGCCTTGAGATAGTAGGTGCGAGTATTTTATGTTTTATACTTAATACTCTTTTCATAAAATGTTATTTAGAACTTTAACGCACAGATACACCTCCGGACCACCATTCTTTAGTAAAATTGATTAAAATATTGTGCCATTTTTAACCACACTGCTACGGATACAATGCGAAATTTATATGTTTTTAAATTTCATTTATGGCAGTGGTACCTCAGTGGTGACGTACTCGCTTGGTAACCGAGTGAAGCGGGTTCGAATCCCGGGTCTCGTACATCTTATATTTTCATACGCAAATCATTTCCAACATGATTACCACTTGTCTTACGATGAAGAAAAACATTGTGAGGAAACCTGCATATCTGAGAGAACCTAGTAGGTAAGTTTTCGAAAGACATGAGTCCGCCAACCCGCGTTTGACCAGAGTGGTGGATATTGGTACCTAATCAATTTTCAGCCCTTCAAATGTACGCAAGGGATTTGAATCTTTAAATTATTTATTCCTACTGTTATAAAATTAATCTAATTGTTTCAATTTTGATTTCAACAGAACATACGTATTCAATGGATGCGCCCCCGACGTCAGTGGAAGGCGAGCGCACCGTAGAGTTCAACTACTACGCGCGTATCGACCACCTCCACAAGCTCGAGTGCACTCCGCTCACATTCCGCGAACATTACACTGACAGGACAGACAGGTGTGCTCCAAAATTGACACTTTTTCATACAACTATGAGGGAATTTGTTGGAATGTCATGCTGTTCATTTGTAGCTAAAATTGACTGTGACATTTTAAAAGGGCAATCTCAATAGCTTCGCTCGTATGTTCTCTCCTACCTTAATCGTTTTATAATTTGTTTTGAAAAGCCACAATAATTAGTTTAAAAAAAAATTAAGTATACATTTTAACAAAAAAGGTAAATCTACAATCAAAAAATTCAATATTACTTAGGAGTAATTATTCCACCATTAGTGGCTAAACCTCGCTTCGCTCGGGTTCGCCTCTAAAAAAATAAAAACACATCTATGCCACGGGAACCGTACATTTTTTCGAGATAAAAAGTAACCTATATGTTATTTTAATGTATGAGCTATATTATTGTAAAGTTTCATTAAAATCCATTCAGTAGTTTTTGCGTGAAAGAGTAACAAACGTTCATACATTTATATATCCAGACATCCAAACATCCGTATATCCTCACAAGCGTTTATAATATTAGTAGGATTATTAGGGGAATCTTTTGTCTTTTGAATATTTGAGATTCTATCCTCCGAAAAAATCCTTTCTGAAATCGGTACAAAATTAAGAAAAATCCATAAAATTTCGTCATCCCCTTTTCAGCCCCTTAGAAGTTGATTTTTAAATAATCTTAAATATTAAACACAATCATGAAACACAAAGTATGTAAAATAAATATTTTTCATTATTTGTGTTACCTAAACATACAATTGTTTGTATCATACCTAATTGTATCGATAAAGTGAGTCGTAAACTCAGTAAACCAAGATAATTTAATTTTTTTACGGAAACCGAAGATTGAAGCTAAAAATCATTCTCATCGTATACTTCCAAAAGAAAATATTTGAAAATTTACTTTCAAGTGTACTTACTCTACACAGACATTACTACTGTAAAAAAAACAAAAGAAAAAAAAATAGTTAATATACATTCGTTAACTAAGATAAAACCAATAGATAAATAGGAGATGACGTAAAAACTTTTGTCTATATTTAAAATATTTACAGGCTCGAAACCCGCTTCATAACGTACACAGAAGGCAATAAAATAGATCCCAAACGTCAAGTCAAAGATATTGTCGAGACCTACAGCCGCAATCCCGATGTGCCGTCTAAAGTGGATATTTGGAAAAAAAAATATCACGTCCAAGATAATACAATAGAATTGCTATATCATTATAATTATAACTTTGTTACAAATAATACGCGAAGCTTTATTAAGCCCAACTTAGCAGAGACTGGTGGGAAAATTTTGTTCTATCCAGATAAAACGACGGGATATATCGTAAGTTTTTATTCTTTTTAAGTCTTTAGTGATAGGTAAAGATGCCATTTGTGAATTTCTTGAAATCATTTTTGTAAAATTGTGGGTAGGCACTGTCTGTAACAAGTACCATGATTGCTGTAAAGCATTCGAAACGTTAAGAACCAAAAATCAAAATAAACTCGCGAAATAATCCGAAAAGATAGTCTTATTTAAAATGTCAAATATTCGCGTAAATCTAAGAAAGTATTAAATATTTTTTTAAATAAAAACGTTTTTTTAATTGTTCAGAAAAGCATATTCATAAACATATTAATTTTGACTCGTCTTGCTCGTTAATTCCTATAAGTAAGTCATTTTTTTAATATTTTCAGGCTGATCCCCGCGCTAAGCCTCCTCGACCCTTGGATATTTACCTTGCACTATGCGACAATATGGATAGCGAATACTACACACGCAAACATATACGCGATCGTGAGACAGATGTCACCGTATATCTGAAGCAAAGAGAACGCGAGCTCACAGATCCGGTACTGTTTGTGGCTCTCTTTGACACTGAGAGGAATGATGCTGCGAAGAAAGGATGGAAGGAACAGGTAAATAATGATTTACTGTCTACGGATATATCGTAGGATGCACATATGATGACGATTTTTTTTTCACACCTGAACACATAGTCAAAATATATTACAATTGGTGGAATCTTCACCTAATTAATCTTTACTCGTAATTTTTGAGTGCCATAATCATTTCACTCGGTAAAAGGTATCGTTGGATACTCTTCCATTTTCAGTGTGATTATAATTAATATTTTCTTAATATACATAAAATATAATTAACTCTATTTCTTTCCCATTATCTAATTGATGTATTTGCTGTTTAGCCCTATGGGCCTTTACAGCTTCACCGGAGAGGGCTGTTTCTTATTAATATTTAAAAATATTGTACCACCGGACCTTCTCCTAATGATAGACCTCTTCCCTTATAGATAACATACTCTATCTATTGGTATTTCTGTACTAAATATCTAATAACTTTGGCCGTTTCACATTTCAGGAAGCTCAAAAAGCTGAAGTAACTGAACGCGAAAAGGAAGCAGAGATCGATCCTCTAGCGCCGTACTTGGCGAGGATGTTCGGAAGCGGGCACGGAGCTGGTACAATATCGATTAAAGAAGCAACTTTGGTCAGGGATCAGTGTATCAATGACTTCAAATCGAAACAATTGGCTAGGCAGAACCTGGTTCAGGAAAGATTCGACAAGGTGATGACAGTCAACTGATAAATTAATAAAATTTATAAGTTTTTGTCTTTATGATACTCAAACGTGAAGAATAATAAGTACTGCAGCTTTCATTTAAACTTTTGAAGATCTCTGTTTGTGTGAAGTAATTCTACTAGTAGATAAGGCTTCTGCAAGATTTAATAAAAAGTAAATATTGCGATATTAATAGGGAATTAATTATAAACCATTTGAATGATTATTATAATTAAGCGGCTAAGGCGTATTAAAAATTTTGAATATTAAAATTTTACGTGTACCAATTTGATAATTCAATTCAATTTTCTTGTTAATTGTTTCAAAAAAAATTCTTTTTTATTTGGCTTCTTTAGATTATTTTTATATTTCATATCAATATCAATGTAATGGCATATTTATTCTATTTCAGCTCAACACTGAGTACAAGAACAAGAGACTATGGTACTTAGCAAATCAATTCATTCTTACACCGGAGAAAGAGAGTGCTTATTTTGCTATGAGGTGAGTCATGATGCTACCTTAGTGCTTTTGAAATGAGTTGTTATTCGTGTGTAATCGTGAATTTTTATCATTTTCCACTCTTTTCTTTTAGGAAAATATATAAATTATTAAGGTTAAAAACTCAACTATAAATATTTATTATCATGAAATTACATAATATGTACATTTGACAATGTATAATTAGACTGTTTAGTTTATTACTGTACGTGTTCTCGTTTAAAAAAAAACTTGTACAAATTCACTAATTGTCACCTTATGTACAATATATATACCTACCTATGTAGTGTACTGGTAACAGTCACTCAGTCAATCAATCAATCAGTCAGTCAGTCAGTCAGTCAGTCAGTCAGTCAGTCAGTCAGTCTGTCTGTCTGTCTGTCTGTCTGTCTGTCAGTCAATCAGTCAATACATACAAAATATTTCATTTATTTATATTTTCAGCGCCGAACTAGCATTCAAAGTTCACACCCTCGAGGTGCGGCTAACCAGACACAAAGACCTGTCAGCCCCGAGGTTCAAGATCTTAGAGGAGTATTTAGACAAGCACCCGTTACTGAAGGAGTACAATCGCATGCGACATTACTATAAGAAAAAATAATTATTTAAAATATTATTATGTTGAAGTTTGCTATTAATATATACAATGATGATGTTATGTTACTGTTGATGAACATTTTTATGTTATTGTATTTTGATAGTAAATATATAAATTTTAGTCATTTTTTTTCTTATTTATACTTTTATTACGTGTGTTCACATATTTCCCCTTTGTCGAGTGGATGGAGATTATAATGATATATTTTATTATTTATGTGTAATGTGTCTTACGCTTGGACTGTATCCAGTTTTTTCTAACGTACGAGTAAATATGGTATGAAGCCCTAATAAAGATTTTTTTTATATTTTTTATTTATTTGGTCTAACGTTATTGGGCAGTATCCAGGAGGTCTGGCAACATTGTCAATAACCACAATAACCAAAGTAAGAGGGCAAAGAAAAATATGAAACAATATTTTATATATATTCATAGGTCTAACCAATTAATAGAGAAAGAGAGATATGAGTACAATATTTTAAGCATATTTATTGGTGTAATTGAAAATAGTATTTTGTACATGTTTGTTGGTTTAATACTTGGGCAGTATCCAGGAGGAAAAGAAAGGCATAATATTATTTCAAACACATTTATTGGTCTAATTATAAAGTATTCTGTACATAGCAGGGTTAGTGTTTGGGTCAACTGCCTCGGTGGTGTAGTGGCTAGCATGTACGACTGCACACCCGGAGGCCCTGGGTTCGAATCCCGGGTCGGGCCAGGTTTAGTTATTGAGTCTTTCTGTATAGTAAGCCTCAGTAACAGCCCGGAGTTAGGAAGTTGGCGGTGTTTCACCCCCGTGCCTCAGAGAGCACGTAAAGCCGTCGGTCCTGCGCCTTAATTGACCGGTCGTGTCTCGTGTCGTGCCACCGGAGTATGAGAGTGACAGAAATAGAGAGTGCACGTTGTGTCTGCGCGTACACTTATGCTCTATAATATCTCCTGCGCAGTTGGCTAGTCTCAATGAGATGGGCCGCCGTGGCCGGAATCGGTCAGGAGAACTTCAGTGCTTGGGCAGTACCCAGGAGGGGTGGTGTCGCGCGCTGCGCCAGTCGCCGGCGCCGCCCAGCAGGTGTCCGCGGCCGTCGTGCGTGGCGAGCGCCAGCCGCGACAGCTTGTTGGCGAGCCGGCGCTGCGGCGAGTCCGGCCGCGACAGCGGCGGCAGCGAGATGCTGCCCGAGTCTACGATATATTTATTTTATTTAATTTTTTTTTGAGCGGAACCCTAATTATTTTTCTAAAATAAAAGTAGCCTATGTTACTCTCTAACTTTCACTGGAAGATAGCTGATGTTAATCAACTATCTTCCATTGAAAGTCCCGTCAAAATTTAAAAAAATGTGTTTTTCTTATAAGTACCGTATATAATTTCATATACATTTAGTAAAACGCTGTTATTTTGATATTACAAACAGACACTTCAATTTTATTTACCTGTATACTCGTAGATTGGGAAACATACACCATATGATTAAAAAAATAATTATTAAACACTTCTAAACAAAAATTTTAAGCCAATAAAGTTTCCACTAAAAACATAAACGAAGTGCAGTGATATCCATACTAATATTATATAAATATGTTTTAAGGTTTTATAAAAATTGAATTCTTTCAGATGGAAACAGAATGATGGATTGGCGTGATTTTTTGTATGGAGTGTTTGGCTGAAGAATAATATAGGCTACTTTTTACTGCGGGAGCTTATCTCATTCTCATGGGAAAATATGTTACAATACAACCCACAAGAACTGACACTAAGACTTTTGTATATATAAAAATAAATTATATAAAAATATATATTACTAGCGGCTTCGTTTTTAGATGCGTTTTAACGGTTAAAATGAAATAGATGCACACTATATATGTATACAAAAAATATTTAATATTTTTTTAATAATCAGAAAATGTGTTTCTTTTTTATTAAGTTTATTTTATATATTCCTCATTCATGTTATATGAGAAAAATAAAACGTTTTTTTTTTAAGCTTACCGGAGTGATAGTCATAATTAGCGTGTTCACTCGGCGTCTCCTGCCCGAGCCTCTTCCTGTACTCTCCCGCGAAGTGTTCTATCAGAGTATCCATCATTATCGCTTGTTTTGAAAATACCTGCAAATTATATTGTTTAGTTATTTAAATAATATCCTCGTAATTTGATATATAAATTACTCAGTATGTTTGTAGAAAATGATTTATGATTCGAATAGATGCATAATATTTGAACGGTGAACCATTTTATTCACAATACTAGCGGCTCACCAAACGAAAACAAATCTATCCCATGGGAACCGTTCATTTTTGCAGGATAAAAAGTAGCCTATATGTTACTTTAATGTGTGAGCTATATTATTGTAAAGTTTCATTGGAATCCACTCAGTAGTTTTGGCATATATATACGTACATCTAGACATCCATATATCCTCACAAACTTTCGCATTTATAATATTAGTAGGATTAGTATGATATGTACCTAATACGTATTACACAATAACAATTTCGAAAATACAAAATTTACGATTTTTAAGGGCTTTTGATTTTCGCACTGAAACCCTAAATATTTCTGGAATAAAGCATACCCTATTTGTAGCCCTACGAACTAACTAATAAACTAACTAACTGATTTTCAGTGAAAGTTGCATTATTAGAAAGACAGACAGGCAAAAAAATTAAAAATGGTTGTTTAGGTACTAGTATCGTATATATAACTTTAAATAATAATATCCAAATATATTCTTCAGAAATTAAGTTTTAATTACCTGTAATATTTTGGACACTCGCAGTCCATTTTCAACGACCATAAATTGAAGGAAGAGACACGGCAAGCAGTCTTCGTTTTCGTCGGACGGTAAGCCTATGTCCCACGACAGCTCCTCGTATAGCAGTCCTAGTAGGACCGTCTAAAAATAATTATAAACATATGTATATATACATATAACTAGCGACTCACCCTGGCTTTGCTCGGGTTCGCCGCTAGACAAAGAAAAACAAATCTGTCCCACGGGAACCGTACATTTTTTCCGGAATAAAAAGTATCCTATTTTATATTCTGATGTATGAACTATATTATTGTAAGGTTTCATTAAAATCCAATCAGTAGTTTTTGTGTACTAAGCTGTATAAGTGACTATGGTTTTTTAACTATCCCACGGGAACTCTTTAATTTTCTGGGATGAAAAGTATCGAAATTGTTGACCGTGGGTTAAGGTACCACCATGAAAAATTTCATTTAAATCGGTCCAACAGTTTCGGAGATTAGCCCGTACAAACAGACAAACAGACATAGGAACAAAAAAATTAAAAGAAATCTGGATTTGTTCTCTTTCTCTTCTTACACCCCCCTGACTCGGTTTTCAGCATTTTTTTTTCTGTGTACAGACATTCGACTTTTACAGTTTCATTATATGTATAGATTTAATTGTAATGGATCAAAGTTAGATAAAATATTATTTTAACACGTGTTTACACACAAAAAAGTTCTAATTGTCGGATCGATTTGAAACCCTACAATTGCGCGCTTTATTGATGATAGAATAAATTGATCCAGCGAGCTGAACCAGAAAGTGGATCTCTTCAATGATTTCTATTAGATCCTTAGAGTTTTGGGCTTATTTTGTTTAAACATTCCAATATATAGGTACAGTTGGTCAACGTGTTTTTTTCTTTTGTTTTTTTTTTCTTTTTTATAACTTAACTGTAAAACTTTTACTTTAAAAATATGTGTCATTAAACCATTTACTATATTATAATACTACACCACATATCCCATCCAATAAAAAGAAATGTACAGGCCTTACTTCAGACTATTCTTTGGATTATTTTCTTTTACCTGAATAGACGACATATGGCACTTGCATATAAACTGTCTCATTTTTTATTTCATGAAAACCATTCAAATTAGCAAAATACAATGCAAGCAAATACAATCAGCGCCATCTATGATTACGCTCCGTATGAATTCATTACCTATTAGCTGATTTTTGAAGCATTACTTTCTTTTGCTTAGATTTTTTTTTAATTTTATGTATATATAATTAATTTTTTTTTAAAAAGACGTATCTTTCGATCTTTTTAATCATTATATTAAAAATGTAAGTACATGTATATCATAATAAAACATATCACAGAAATTTACAACTTAAAGGCATAATCTAGTGAATTTAGTAGAAAATAATTATTAAAATCCATTCGAACCAAAAAAAAATCATTCACGAATTGAGCACATCTTCCTTATTAAAAATGGTAACGAATAATCATTAAACTTACACTTTCAGTGTCATCTATGACGTAAACCCCATTGGAGTTAATCGCGACGAGCACGGGGATGTCCTCGTGAGTGAGGAGACTCGTCAAACTTCGTACTGGCTGTTCTATTTGGCCTTGGAAAAATGCTGCCCTGGAATTATATAATACTATCTATTAGTTATTTGTTATGAAAATATATATTATAATTTGTTTTGAAAAGCCACAATAATTAGTTTAAAATAAAATTAAGTATACATTTTAACAAAAAAGGTAAACCTACAATCAAAAAATTCAATATAACTTAGGAGTAATTATTCCACCATTAGTGGCTAAACCTCGCTTCGCTCGGGTTCGCCTCTAAAAAAATAAAAACACATCTATGCCACGGGAACCGTACATTTTTTCGAGATAAAAAGTAACCTATATGTTATTTTAATGTATGAGCTATATTATTGTAAAGTTTCATTAAAATCCATTCAGTAGTTTTTGCGTGAAAGAGTAACAAACGTTCATACATTTATATATCCAGACATCCAAACATCCGTATATCCTCACAAGCGTTTATAATATTAGTAGGATTATTAGGGGAATCTTTTGTCTTTTGAATATTTGAGATTCTATCCTCCGAAAAAATCCTTTCTGAAATCGGTACAAAATTAAGAAAAATCCATAAAATTTCGTCATCCCCTTTTCAGCCCCTTAGAAGTTGATTTTTAAATAATCTTAAATATTAAACACAATCATGAAACACAAAGTATGTAAAATAAATATTTTTCATTATTTGTGTTACCTAAACATACAATTGTTTGTATCATACCTAATTGTATCGATAAAGTGAGTCGTAAACTCAGTAAACCAAGATAATTTAATTTTTTTACGGAAACCGAAGATTGAAGCTAAAAATCATTCTCATCGTATACTTCCAAAAGAAAATATTTGAAAATTTACTTTCAAGTGTACTTACTCTACACAGACATTACTACTGTAAAAAAAACAAAAGAAAAAAAAATAGTTAATATACATTCGTTAACTAAGATAAAACCAATAGATAAATAGGAGATGACGTAAAAACTTTTGTCTATATTTAAAATATTTACAGGCTCGAAACCCGCTTCATAACGTACACAGAAGGCAATAAAATAGATCCCAAACGTCAAGTCAAAGATATTGTCGAGACCTACAGCCGCAATCCCGATGTGCCGTCTAAAGTGGATATTTGGAAAAAAATATATCACGTCCAATATAATACAATAGAATTGCTATACCATTATGATTATAACTTTGTTACAAATAACACGCGAAGCTTTATTAAGCCCAACTTAGCAGAGACTGGTGGGAAAATTTTGTTCTATCCAGATAAAACGACGGGATATATCGTAAGTTTTTATTCTTTTTAAGTCTTTAGTGATAGGTAAAGATGCCATTTGTGAATTTCTTGAAATCATTTTTGTAAAATTGTGGGTAGGCACTGTCTGTAACAAGTACCATGATTGCTGTAAAGCATTCGAAACGTTAAGAACCAAAAATCAAAATAAACTCGCGAAATAATCCGAAAAGATAGTCTTATTTAAAATGTCAAATATTCGCGTAAATCTAAGAAAGTATTAAATATTTTTTTAAATAAAAACGTTTTTTTAATTGTTCAGAAAAGCATATTCATAAACATATTAATTTTGACTCGTCTTGCTCGTTAATTCCTATAAGTAAGTCATTTTTTTAATATTTTCAGGCTGATCCCCGCGCTAAGCCTCCTCGACCCTTGGATATTTACCTTGCACTATGCGACAATATGGATAGCGAATACTACACACGCAAACATATACGCGATCGTGAGACAGATGTCACCGTATATCTGAAGCAAAGAGAACGCGAGCTCACAGATCCGGTACTGTTTGTGGCTCTCTTTGACACTGAGAGGAATGATGCTGCGAAGAAAGGATGGAAGGAACAGGTAAATAATGATTTACTGTCTACGGATATATCGTAGGATGCACATATGATGACGATTTTTTTTTCACACCTGAACACATAGTCAAAATATATTACAATTGGTGGAATCTTCACCTAATTAATCTTTACTCGTAATTTTTGAGTGCCATAATCATTTCACTCGGTAAAAGGTATCGTTGGATACTCTTCCATTTTCAGTGTGATTATAATTAATATTTTCTTAATATACATAAAATATAATTAACTCTATTTCTTTCCCATTATCTAATTGATGTATTTGCTGTTTAGCCCTATGGGCCTTTACAGCTTCACCGGAGAGGGCTGTTTCTTATTAATATTTAAAAATATTGTACCACCGGACCTTCTCCTAATGATAGACCTCTTCCCTTATAGATAACATACTCTATCTATTGGTATTTCTGTACTAAATATCTCATAACTTTGGCCGTTTCACATTTCAGGAAGCTCAAAAAGCTGAAGTAACTGAACGCGAAAAGGAAGCAGAGATCGATCCTCTAGCGCCGTACTTGGCGAGGATGTTCGGAAGCGGGCACGGAGCTGGTACAATATCGATTAAAGAAGCAACTTTGGTCAGGGATCAGTGTATCAATGACTTCAAATCGAAACAATTGGCTAGGCAGAACCTGGTTCAGGAAAGATTCGACAAGGTGATGACAGTCAACTGATAAATTAATAAAATTTATAAGTTTTTGTCTTTATGATACTCAAACGTGAAGAATAATAAGTACTGCAGCTTTCATTTAAACTTTTGAAGATCTCTGTTTGTGTGAAGTAATTCTACTAGTAGATAAGGCTTCTGCAAGATTTAATAAAAAGTAAATATTGCGATATTAATAGGGAATTAATTATAAACCATTTGAATGATTATTATAATTAAGCGGCTAAGGCGTATTAAAAATTTTGAATATTAAAATTTTACGTGTACCAATTTGATAATTCAATTCAATTTTCTTGTTAATTGTTTCAAAAAAAATTCTTTTTTATTTGGCTTCTTTAGATTATTTTTATATTTCATATCAATATCAATGTAATGGCATATTTATTCTATTTCAGCTCAACACTGAGTACAAGAACAAGAGACTATGGTACTTAGCAAATCAATTCATTCTTACACCGGAGAAAGAGAGTGCTTATTTTGCTATGAGGTGAGTCATGATGCTACCTTAGTGCTTTTGAAATGAGTTGTTATTCGTGTGTAATCGTGAATTTTTATCATTTTCCACTCTTTTCTTTTAGGAAAATATATAAATTATTAAGGTTAAAAACTCAACTATAAATATTTATTATCATGAAATTACATAATATGTACATTTGACAATGTATAATTAGACTGTTTAGTTTATTACTGTACGTGTTCTCGTTTAAAAAAAAACTTGTACAAATTCACTAATTGTCACCTTATGTACAATATATATACCTACCTATGTAGTGTACTGGTAACAGTCACTCAGTCAATCAATCAATCAGTCAGTCAGTCAGTCAGTCAGTCAGTCAGTCAGTCAGTCAGTCTGTCTGTCTGTCTGTCTGTCTGTCTGTCAGTCAATCAGTCAATACATACAAAATATTTCATTTATTTATATTTTCAGCGCCGAACTAGCATTCAAAGTTCACACCCTCGAGGTGCGGCTAACCAGACACAAAGACCTGTCAGCCCCGAGGTTCAAGATCTTAGAGGAGTATTTAGACAAGCACCCGTTACTGAAGGAGTACAATCGCATGCGACATTACTATAAGAAAAAATAATTATTTAAAATATTATTATGTTGAAGTTTGCTATTAATATATACAATGATGATGTTATGTTACTGTTGATGAACATTTTTATGGTATTGTATTTTGATAGTAAATATATAAATTTTAGTCATTTTTTATTTTCTTATTTATACTTTTATTACGTGTGTTCACATATTTCCCGTTTGTCGAGTGGATGGAGTTATAATGATACATTTTATTATTTATGTGTAATGTGTCTTACGCTTGGACTGTATCCAGTTTTTTCTAACGTACGAGTAAATACGGTATGAAGCCCCAATAAAGATTTTTTTTTATATTTTTTATTTATTTGGTCTAACGTTATTGGGCAGTATCCAGGAGGTCTGGCAATATTGTCAATAACCACAATAACCAAAGTAAGAGGGCAAAGAAAAATATGAAACAATATTTTGTATATATTCATAGGTCTAACCAATTAATAGAGAAAGAGAGACATGAGTACAATATTTTAAGCATATTTATTGGTGTAATTGAAAATAGTATTTTGTACATGTTTGTTGGTCTAATACTTGGGCAGTATCCAGGAGGAAAAGAAAGGCATAAGATTATTTCAAACACATTTATTGGTCTAATTATAAAGTATTCTGTACATAGCAGGGTTAGTGTTTGGGTCAACTGCCTCGGTGGTGTAGTGGCTAACATGTACGGCTGCACACCCGGAGGTCCTGGGTTCGAGTCCCGGGTCGGGCCAGGTTTAGTTATTGAGTGTTTCTGTATAGTAAGCCTCAGTAACAGCCCGGAGTTGGGAAGTTGGCGGTGTTTCACCCCCGTGCCTCGGAGAGCACGTAAAGCCGTCGGTCCTGCGCCTTAATTCACCGGTCGTGTCTCGTGTCGTGCCACCGGAGTATGGAGTGACAGAAATAGAGAGTGCACTTGTGTCTGCGCGTACACTTGTGCTCTATAATATCTCCTGCGCAGTTGGCTAGTCTCAATGAGATTGGCCGCCATAGCCGGAATCGGCTAGGAAAACTTCAGTGCTTGGGCAGTACCCAGGAGGGGTGGTGTCGCGCGCTGCGCCAGTCGCCGGCGCCGCCCAGCAGGTGTCCGCGGCCGTCGTGCGTGGCGAGCGCCAGCCGCGACAGCTTGTTGGCGAGCCGGCGCTGCGGCGAGTCCGGCCGCGACAGCGGCGGCAGCGAGATGCTGCCCGAGTCTACGATATATTTATTTTATTTAATATTTTTTTGAGCGGAACCCTAATTATTTTTCTAAAATAAAAGTAGCCTATGTTACTCTCTAACTTTCACTGGAAGATAGCTGATGTTAATCAACTATCTTCCATTGAAAGTCCCGTCAAAATTTAAAAAAATGTGTTTTTCTTATAAGTACCGTATATAATTTCATATACATTTAGTAAAACGCTGTTATTTTGATATTACAAACAGACACTTCAATTTTATTTACCTGTATACTCGTAGATTGGGAAACATACACCATATGATTAAAAAAATAATTATTAAACACTTCTAAACAAAAATTTTAAGCCAATAAAGTTTCCACTAAAAACATAAACGAAGTGCAGTGATATCCATACTAATATTATATAAATATGTTTTAAGGTTTTATAAAAATTGAATTCTTTCAGATGGAAACAGAATGATGGATTGGCGTGATTTTTTGTATGGAGTGTTTGGCTGAAGAATGATATAGGCTACTTTTTACTGCGGGAGCTTATCTCATTCTCATGGGAAAATATGTTACAATACAACCCACAAGAACTGACACTTTTGTATATATAAAAATAAATTATATAAAAATATATATTACTAGCGGCTTCGTTTTTAGATGCGTTTTAACGGTTAAAATGAAATAGATACACACTATATATGTATACAAAAAATATTTAATATTTTTTTAATAATCAGAAAATGTGTTTCCTTTTTATTAAGTTTATTTTACATATTCCTCATTCATGTTATATGAGAAAAATAAAACGTTTTTTTTAAGCTTACCGGAGTGATAGTCACAATTAGCATGTTCACTCGGCGTCTCCTGCCCGAGCCTCTTCCTGTACTCTCCCGCGAAGTGTTCTATCAGAGTATCCATCATTATCGCTTGTTTTGAAAATACCTGCAAATTATATTGTTTAGTTATTTAAATAATATCCTCGTAATTTGATATATAAATTACTCAGTATGTTTGTAGAAAATGATTTATGATTCGAATAGATGCATAATATTTGAACGGTGAACCATTTTATTCACAATACTAGCGGCTCACCAAACGAAAACAAATCTATCCCATGGGAACCGTTCATTTTTGCAGGATAAAAAGTAGCCTATATGTTACTTTAATGTGTGAGCTATATTATTGTAAAGTTTCATTGGAATCCACTCAGTAGTTTTGGCATATATATACGTACATCTAGACATCCATATATCCTCACAAACTTTCGCATTTATAATATTAGTAGGATTAGTATGATATGTACCTAATACGTATTACACAATAACAATTTCGAAAATACAAAATTTACGATTTTTAAGGGCTTTTGATTTTCGCACTGAAACCCTAAATATTTCTGGAATAAAGCATACCCTATTTGTAGCCCTACGAACTAACTAATAAACTAACTAACTGATTTTCAGTGAAAGTTGCATTATTAGAAAGACAGACAGGCAAAAAAATTAAAAATGGTTGTTTAGGTACTAGTATCGTATATATAACTTTAAATAATAATATCCAAATATATTCTTCAGAAATTAAGTTTTAATTACCTGTAATATTTTGGACACTCGCAGTCCATTTTCAACGACCATAAATTGAAGGAAGAGACACGGCAAGCAGTCTTCGTTTTCGTCGGACGGTAAGCCTATGTCCCACGACAGCTCCTCGTATAGCAGTCCTAGTAGGACCGTCTAAAAATAATTATAAACATATGTATATATACATATAACTAGCGACTCACCCTGGCTTTGCTCGGGTTCGCCGCTAGACAAAGAAAAACAAATCTGTCCCACGGGAACCGTACATTTTTTCCGGAATAAAAAGTATCCTATTTTATATTCTGATGTATGAACTATATTATTGTAAGGTTTCATTAAAATCCAATCAGTAGTTTTTGTGTACTAAGCTGTATAAGTGACTATGGTTTTTTAACTATCCCACGGGAACTCTTTAATTTTCTGGGATGAAAAGTATCGAAATTGTTGACCGTGGGTTAAGGTACCACCATGAAAAATTTCATTTAAATCGGTCCAACAGTTTCGGAGATTAGCCCGTACAAACAGACAAACAGACATAGGAACAAAAAAATTAAAAGAAATCTGGATTTGTTCTCTTTCTCTTCTTACACCCCCCTGACTCGGTTTTCAGCATTTTTTTTTCTGTGTACAGACATTCGACTTTTACAGTTTCATTATATGTATAGATTTAATTGTAATGGATCAAAGTTAGATAAAATATTATTTTAACACGTGTTTACACACAAAAAAGTTCTAATTGTCGGATCGATTTGAAACCCTACAATTGCGCGCTTTATTGATGATAGAATAAATTGATCCAGCGAGCTGAACCAGAAAGTGAATCTCTTCAATGATTTCTATTAGATCCTTAGAGTTTTGGGCTTATTTTGTTTAAACATTCCAATATATAGGTACAGTTGGTCAACGTGTTTTTTTTTGTTTTTTTTTTCTTTCTTTTTTATAACTTAACTGTAAAACTTTTACTTTAAAAATATGTGTCATTAAACCATTTACTATATTATAATACTACACCACATATCCCATCCAATAAAAAGAAATGTACAAGCCTTACTTCAGACTATTCTTTGGATTATTTTCTTTTACCTGAATAGACGACATATGGCACTTGCATATAAACTGTCTCATTTTTTATTTCATGAAAACCATTCAAATTAGCAAAACAAATTTCCGGAAACCGGAATAAGCAAATACAATCAGCGCCATCTATGATTGCGCTCCGTATGAAGTCATTACCTATTAGCTGATTTTTGAAGCATTACTTTCTTTTCATTAGAATTTTTTTTAATTATATGTATATATAAGTATTTTTTTTTAAAAAAAGACGTATCTTTCGATCTTTTTAATCATTATATTAAAAATGTAAGTACATGTATATCATAATAAAACATATCACAGAAATTTACAACTTAAAGGCATAATCTAGTGAATTTAGTAAAAAATAATTATTAAAATCCATTCGAACCAAAAAAAATCATTCACGAATTGAGCACATCTTCCTTGTTAAAATCGGTAACGAATAATTATTAAACTTACACTTTCAGTGTCATCTATGACGTAAACCCCATTGGAGTTAATCGCGACGAGCACGGGGATGTCCTCGTGAGTGAGGAGACTCGTCAAACTTCGTACTGGCTGTTCTATTTGGCCTTGGAAAAATGCTGCCCTGGAATTATATAATACTATCTATTAGTTATTTGTAACTTAATCTCTCTGTCAACGTATTCAGTAATTTTAACGTCCCACTGTTGGGGGTGAGCCACCCCTTCATACGAGGGGGATCAGGCCATAGTCCACCACGCTGGACGAGTGCGGGCGGACTGAGCATGTCTTTCTCAGACATGTAGGTTTCACTTTTATGTTCAGTCGGGTTATAGTTTAGCCTAAAAATAACATGGGAGTCAAAGAACAAATTGCTCATTCTAGAAGAAACTAGTCCAACTTACTTGTATTATGTTGTAATTTAAACAATTTTGTTCCAGAATATTAGAAACCACTATTTCTCAATCTCTAATCGCAAGTGACTCGATCTGACCAATTATTATTTGAAGATCAATGAAAATTTTAAAAAATCTTACCCATAAGTGGGCAATGTCCGTGTATGAGAGAGGTATTTATGCCGTAATTTCCTCGGAGGCGCGGCCGGCGGACGCTGCGCCTGCTCTAACAACTTGGCTTCAGGACTCCCTTTCCTTCCCGCTGGAAGCAGTCGTATCCAACGACCAGATCTTGCGTGTTGAGGAAGATATTTGTCTTGTTGTTCCCTGGAATAATTGATGGTTTATACTCAGACTAAAGAATTATATAGACGGAACCCGCAAAAAAAGTCAAATGAAAATTTAGTAGCGTGTTTTGCTGTTTATGCTACTAGACTCAACTTTGCCATATTCTATATATACTATTTCTTTTGTATTTTTAAACATTAATTCTCTTCAACTTGAAAAAGTGATATTAGGTAGTTTAATTTTCTTCTTTATTATAATAAAATACGTTAGCTATTCTCATTTATTAATATTATTATTTTTTATCACTCAACTGCAAATTATTGTTTGGCTTCATATTTAGTTTTATGACACTGTCTATATTATTGCTTAGTCTGAGGGTTTATATATAATAGGTATAACTAGATAAATATTTTATGTGGATTTGTATGATAGAATCCAAAATAATAGTAAGTAGCGAAAATGCTTTACGAAGATCAATTTGGTGTGTTGCAGCATCGAAACTTCTATTCTTATTCCCTTGAAGTTGATTGCAAAGGCATTAACACTTTAAGTAACGCTTTAACATTATATTGTTAGTGGTATATGAATACGTACATACAAGATATACCAATATAAGTAGAGCTCACCTAAAGAACTTGGCAGTATGCCGGTGCGGGTCGTAGGGCCCGAGCTGCACGCGCGCCTGCAGCCCGCCCAGCATCACCGCCTGCGCGCTCTCCAGCGGGTAGCGCCCCGTCACTACGTTGTGCCGCGCCTCTTCGTACAGAAGCTCTTGTATTCTAGAGTCCCTGTTGTTTTATTTGTATAAGAATCCCTGTTGTTTCTTTTATATTTAAGTAGTGTTCTTTTTTTAAAAACTGTGAGAATCACTATATAGTATAAAACACATTCGCTTCCCACTGTCTGTCCGTCCCTATGTATGTTTAGATTTTTAAAACTTCCCACAGACCCGTTGCGTCATCCATCTTGAATTTAAGGGTTGATTTTTGTTGAATAACTCGTTTATTTTCAATTTTACACGAAAAATAGTTATTACAAAAGTTGTTTGAAATTAAATTTTCTACAATTTTGGTTCTTATCAATTTTTTCCTAGGATCGATATTTTTCGATTTATACCCGAAAAGAGGGGCTGAATTTTTGTTTATTGAACAACTCGTTTATTTTCAATTTTACGCGAAAAATTTTATAGACAAAGTTATCAATTTACATTAATAACTTATTAATAATACTTTCTTAGATTTACGCGAATACTTGACATTTTAAATAAAACTATCTTTTCGGATTTTTTCGCGAATTTATTTTGATTTTTGGTTCCCGACGTTTCGAATGCTTTACAGCATCCATGGTCACGGGAGAGACTGAGGTGTTACATGTCTTGAAGGTATAGTTGTTACAGACAGCCTACCCACAATTAACAAAATGAAAATTGCACCAATTACATTACAATATTTTAACTTTAAAACATTTTTATAATTTTAATTATAATTGAATATGGAGTATTATTTATTTAATTTTGCTATTATTTTTATAATTATTACAATTTTAAAAATATTAATTAGTAATCTATATTTAGTGTTGCCATTATTATATTTATAACCATAAAGAAAAATATAAAATATAGTACTAATTATTTAAGCCATATAAGTGTTCTATGTGTAATTTAAAAAGTTAAAATTAGTTAAGGATAATAATTTTATTTTAGTTTGCTATTATTTAAAAACAACTTACTAAGCAACACTATTACTATATACTTTTTTAACTGCCTCGGTGGTGTAGTGGCTAGCATGTACGGTTGCACACCCGGAGGTCCTGGGTTCGAGTCCCGGGTCGGGCCAAGTTTAGTTATTGAGTCTTCCTGTATAGTAAGTCTCAGTAACAGCCCGGAGTTGGGAAGTTGGCGGTGTTTCACCCCCGTGCCTCGGAGAGCACGTAAAGCCGTCGGTCCTGCGCCTTAACTCTCACTGGTCGTGTCGAGCAGTCGTCCCACCGGAGTATGAGAGTGATAGAAATAGAGAGTGCACTTGTGTCTGCGCGTACACTTGAGCACTATAATATCTCCTGCGCAGTTGGCTAATCTCATTGAGATAGGCCGCCGTGGCCGGAATCGGCTAGGAGAACATCATATACTTTTACAAATGAAAAATGAAAAATATTAATCTGATAAGCTGTTATTTTGATCTACACAGTAAGAACTTACTACATCTACCTGTCTGTTATGTTTATATTTATTATTTGATTTTATTATATTAATAACAGGATCCCATGACGATGGTAGTACCCAGCCATCTTCCCTATTGAAATTAGGATGCTTTTAATTTCTATGGCTTCTCGAATCATTCTAGGGCGATATCGGTTTTCTTTCGCCAGGATTTGAGGTCTATCGAAGCGAATATAATGGTTTAGGCGGTCCTGACTATGTTTGCAGACAGCAGATGTTGTATTGCGACGGTGCTTCACATCAGCTATGTATTCTTTGACCCGGGTTCTAATGGATCTCTTTGTCCGATGTAAGAGAGCCCACAATCACAATCAAATTTTTCATTATATTATAACTTATTAATTTTTCGTAGAATCGATATTTTTCGATTTATACCCGATATTTTATTTATTTTATTATTAGATATATAATGATATATAAGAATTATTTTATTAGATATTATATAATGATAAGATTTTACCCCCTCCTTTTCTCAAGTATAAATCGGAAAATATCGATTCTATGAAAAGAAGCGAAATGTAAAAGCATGCATAATGTTTATTTACGTCGATTCGATTTAGAACTCATCTAAGTCAATGCTGAGCTCATCTAAGTCAATTTATTTTATACTTAATACGTATAAAGAAATTTTATTATTACTTAATTCCCTCTTCCAAATGTTTAGGGAAGAACACGTTTCTCTGCAATCGTAACACTGGTTGATCTTTCCCACGGCGAGATTCTGAACCGTGGCCGTATTTTTGCAACAATTTCTGCCAACTCGACCAAATGCGCCATGGGCAATGGTGCGGTTTTAGTTGAATTTCTGTTAAAAACAAATAAGTTTGCTTAGAAAAAGTGATATTCTGCAATACTTATGTAAAAAAACATATTCATAAATCATAATATTCTCGTTACTATTTTCCATTAGCACGTCAATTATAGAAATCAACTAGTAGAGTTTTAATAAATTGTTTCTTTTAAATGAAACTATTTTATCGCGGTTTGATTTTGTTTCTCCGAGCTGTTTGACGTCTTACAGATAGTACGAAAAAGAAGAAATAGCATCCAGGTACCTCATACATATATGTAATATAAAACCAGTGCCACAACAAGGGTGTTGCCAGCGGTGCCCAGTCACAGGGCGCCAACCTTGGAGAGCCGACAAAACGACCAGACCAGGGCCAAGTTATGAGTCATACATGTTTGTTAGAGACATTTGTACATACAATTTATTCATCGCGTAATACGGGTGAAGGCGCGCTTTACCCTGTGGTAATTACACAATATTACACCACAATATCACACACGATAGTATCTACCTAGTACCTACTAATAGATACTATTGGCATTTTTCGCGGATTTATAAAAGAAATACAAACAATAAAAAGAAAAAGATAAACGAAAAAATAAGATTGTGTTCGTCTACTTGTACTCATAACTCACCCAATAATGGACTACACATCCACAAAGCGAACACATTTGCAGCCAAACTCCTGGAACTTGGAGTATTCAGGCCCAACTCCTCAGTAGCTAGCACAGCATTCAGGAACCTGGATGATGTTACGCATGAGGGAACTTCCTCAGAACTCATTTCCACCATAATGGCCATGCGAGACATGAGATATACACATGTCACTGGATTCGAGGAACTGCTTGATGATGATGCCGTACTGCCAGATGATCCTGATTTTAATTTTAATATTGTTCTACAAACTTCGTAATGTTTTTTATGACTATTGACTACTTAATTAAACATACAAGAAAGTATAGAAAACTTGTAAAAAGCATTTTCTGTCTTCTAAGATGGCATCCATAAATGATTTTAATCGATGAATTCCATCTACTTTGAATAAATAGTTTTTTTTTTTTGGGAGATATTTAAATGGTAAAAAAATCTGATTTAATTAATTAAATAGTGCAATGACGTAATTATTATTAATATTAAGATTGCTTGCTGTGTAATAATTTAAAAGACAGCTGTTTAAGTCCGCAGTAAAAAAGTCGTACTCGAGGGCTATGGCGCAGTGTCATGGGCGGCGGCAGAATAATTTTCAGGGGGGTGCATCTGCTTCTTGATTCTTCAAATTAAAATACTAACTAATCTTTAAATGATTTACTATATTTTTATTTGAATTTTTATTCGAAAATGTGATATTTTTTCGCAAATATCTAAATTTAAACAGGGATTTTACTAATATAATTTTATTTCTTTAACTTTTTCTATATATTTTACTTCATGGCAAGGGGGGAAAGTGCAACCCCTTTGCATCCCCCTCCCGGAGCCTATATTAGCGCTGGTAGTTGAAATGAACGATCGTCGATTCGATACTTTAGAAATAGTATATTAGATATAGAAAAAGTATATTCAATTCGGTCTATTTCAAATTAATATAATCATTCATTAAAAAATTGTTAACATGCATCATAATAATATACTCTAGCCATAAATAAAGAATACTTAGAATCATAAAAGAAAGATTTAATACGTCAGAAAGCAATTAAAGCATATTATGTGAACAAATAATATCTGCAAAATTTGGACAAATGTATGCATAAAGCAAATCATTAACAAATAATTTCGAACCTGGCAATGGTGGTGATATCGCACTGGACGAGCTTCCCCCACTCGTTATAGGCTCGGTTGTACTAAAAGAGCCAGCTGCGATACTACTAGATCCCGTTTGATTTGAACAACTACTGAGGTTCGAACCTGCAAATGACCCTTAAATTTTGCCAAACATGATTTTTGTATTGTTTTTTATTACTTTCTTACTATTGTATTTGCTTAAATCATGTTAATTTATTTTTATTATATGTATTGTAACACAAATTAATGCATTTTACCGGATTTATAACATCTCCAAAATTTATGACATATGTAGATATATGTAAATAAAGTGTATTTTATTTTTCCAAAGTTTTATTCAAAGATACCTACAATTCACAAAGTCTCCGTATTTATGTTTTGTGTGCCAAAAAAAACAAAAATCTAACTAATTATGAATACATATAAATAAATTCTTACCCATAACACTCTTCTCGAGTGAATCCGAAGAATTACTTTCCTTAGAATCTGGCAAGGGTTTGTGAGGATCATGTTTGTCCCATTCATTGTGACGACCCAATGGACTGTACGATAGGTGCGGTAGTCGCTGCGATACCGAATATAAGTGTGCATTCACTTCCGCTTGCAACTTTTGGCTTTGCACACTATAATATTCTTCACGAGATCTAAATTCACTAAAAAAATAACGTAATTCTTTGTAGACACTGTTGTACTACCATATTATTTTACTATGAAAACTATATTTGCCTCAATCGGAAAGTGAACCCACTAACAATAAAAAAAATATTTTAAAATTTCTTATATAGTTATTACACTTTATAGTTAACATTAACTAAAACAATATTTGTATATAAATATTTTAGACGTAATAATAAAGTGTAGTTACACTATTAAATAAAATATAATAATTACTAGTGTAAATCTCACTTATATTGATATTCGGCTTGTATAGGATATCCTCGTCTCGAATAATCCACCGGAATAATCGTAATATAGTTGCCACTGTTATGTTGCGTATTTGAATTCTCTCCGTAAGCACCCATGTCTGATTGATGATCCATTAATTTATGTTTGCCCTAAGCATATATCATAATTTTACAGCTTGTATTCATTCCAAAATGTTACATCCCAGAGTAGAATATTGATCGCAATTCGCGCCTTTCCTGAGTTGCTATATGGAAATATGTAGAACTACCCTTCTGATTTTGTTAGCATAATATTATCAACATGACGTGTTTGATTTAATAGAATTTATCATGACAAAAAAATTATTGACCTCGGAATCTATTTAATAAATTGTACTCTTAATAATTCAAAACATTCGAGTCGTTTCGACAATAAAATACGTAAGATGTATACAAAAATAACTGGATTGAGAACTTCTTTTTGTCGATATTGGTTAATAACATGTACAACATGTTTCAAACTGTTTTTACCCTCCTGCTCCAGGATTCCTGGATGACGCTTAGATTTAATTTCATTCAGATATTACACGATACCGTTTTTTTATTATTATCAGTAGTTAGAGAAATCCTTAACAAAAAAGTTTTGTTAATGATATCTCTGAGGATATCGCCTTTTGCAGGTGTCCTTAAAATTTAATGAAGTTTATTTTTATCTTTTGCTAATTATATTAGAAATAAAAATATGACAAATTAAAAATTCCTGTAAAAATGTTATATTTATGCGCAACTAAATTATTTTAGTAAGCATTTGAGCAAGCCAACGGAGTCAAGCCTACTTTAACATTTTATAAGTATTTTTTCAACTGCCACACTGATTCACTATGTGGCAAATTTTATTTGTCATCCATGGTGGCAAAGATGTCCAATAGCCAACAGCTTGACAGTTGACACTGACAGTTAAATCAAAACAAGTACTTGGACAACTCGAAAGTCGAAACAAATAGCTGCATTTTGCAAATTGCAATTTGCAAACAAATAGTTTTGTTTTTATTAACTATATAATAACATTCTTAATAATTGAAATAAACTAAATATATTTTCTTCTCGTAATTATTTGTATTGACGTGGATGATTGGTGTTTTCAAACAGTATAACGTGATAATAGCAAGTAATAATTTATTACTTGAAAACTTTGCACTTAAATCTTATGATCCTTAAACATTTCAAATAATTAAAAATTGTATTTAACAAACAATATAAAAATCAAAGTTTATCATTTACTGATACGTGTAATCTTATTTCCTTATGGAGGCAAAGCTAAAAGAATACCGCGCTCTGCGACGACGAAAAGAAATAATAGATAGCACAAAAGAGAAGTTTGAAAAATCAAAAGAAAAAATAATAAACTTTTTTATTCCTAAGTCATTCAAAAATATGGAGAATAATAAAAAAGAAGAAGAAGTTTTACTGGTAAATATAAGCAATTTATCTTGCTGTTTCAATTAGCATGTATGTACTTAGGTAATATATATAGTTTTCTTTAATTATTAATGTTTATTTTAATTGTAGTTAGAGGAAGATATACAAGAACCTATTAGGAGAAACCTAATCATGGAGGAGTCTATAGATGCAGTATCTGAAACTAGCGAAATTGAATCTTTTGCAGTTGAAAATCAGGAATCATGGAGATACTTTACAATAAAATGGTCTATCTATGCAATTATCTGGATCACTTTATATATTTACTTTTTGTCATTACAGTTTGGAGCTGTGTTTTTTGTACTATCAGCCTTGGTAGGTATTTTTCTTAATACAAGAACAAGACCTAAGAAGAAAGGAGAAGTATCAGCTTACAGCGTTTTCAATGAAAATTGTGTTAGTATAGATGGGACATTGAAAGCAGAGCAATTTGAAAAAGAAATCCTCTATGGTGCAGGAGCTGCCAGAATATTTTAGTTTGTAGTATTTTTATTTCCATCATGACATGAGTGCCTTTGAAATTATGAAAGCCTGAAAAACATTCTAATGGTTTAAGAATAATTTTATGATTAAGTACTAATAAACCACTTTAAATACTTATATAAAACAGTAAAAACTTTTTATAATAAACTATTTAATGAAAAATTTCACAGAAAATAGAAAAAATCTTATTTTTCCTTGGTTTATAAACTAAAGTATCTCATTAATACCAATCAACTGTTGTTATCATTGATTTATTAGAAGAATTAACCACATCTTGAAATCATCTCCAAATATGATTTCTTTTTACCATTGTCTTGTACATGTTAAGTGTATGACTGTCATCAGGTTTTTTATGCTTTTTGCATTGTCCTTATGTTATTATTCTTAGGTGCTCATAAACTAAAAAAACTATTAATACCTTTAACAGAGTAAAAAAAGTCTTGTAGTAATCCTTTAATTGCTTACCTTAATGTCATGAACTTGCACTTTCCATTCAAAGGAGAAATGTTATGGAATCCATCTCTAATATAATGAAATACTAAATTCACTTAAGTTTATTATGTAAAGTTTTGGATAATTTGCCAACACATTGGATAATAATGTAGCTAAAAAAATTTTATAATATAATTTATTGCTTTATGTGACTAGCTCTTTACAATAATTACATTTTATTTTTAAACTTATTTTAATTATTGAATTGTGCTGTGCTATTATTTATTATTAAATTTAAGTTAAAATATTCACATTTGTTTAGATTTACTACATTACTTATCATATCATCTTTTCAATTTTTAACAGATCTATAATTGCATGCAAGTTAGCTTTTAAGTTGTTTTATATATATATATATATATATATATATATATATATATATATATATATATATATATATATATATATATGATTCTGATATTGATGCAATAAATATACCATGATCTGATGGCAATATATCTGAAATCTAAGTAATGTAAATATATTACTTAGATTTCAGATATAATCTGTCTAAAGTAATGAAATTATAAGGTCTAAAAATATTAATAAAAAACACTATTGTAGGTCCTAGAAAATGATGCTAAGAAAAGCTCCAATAGCAATGATGTCTGATGAAAGATCTATAACATTTTTTCCCCTTTTCTTTCCATTTAAATCGATAAAATTGTTCCTCAACAATTTGAGACACCTTATAACATCATCAGCTATCTGCCAGTGAAAGTCCCTTAAAAATCAGTCCAGCCATTTCGGGGATTAGCCGTAACCAGTGCTAGATTTACACTAGGGGCACTTGGGGTTAGTGCCTCTGCTAAGAGCGGCAAATCGGTATTGCCCAAAAAAATCTTTTGAGTTATCGAAAATGTTTTTCATTTTCCAAAAAAATAATAATTAAAAAAAACTATTTTTTGCATTTATCAAAAATTAAAAACAATTGAACTTTATCGTAAATTTATTCATTTTATGTAAAATTTCGATAATGGGACGGCATTTTTTACTATGCCTAGGGGCGGCTCTATGGTTGAATCCGGCACTGGCCGGACATACAGACAAAAAATTTAAAACTGCTTTAGTAACTACTACTACGTATTAAGTACCGCATATAATTTCTTATGCATAAAAAAACTTATTAGGACAGTACAATCATACACTTCAATTTTATTTATCTGTATAGATTACAGGTATCAGAGATAATTTATTACTTAGCAAAAACATAAAATCCACGCGACTACATCATAGGCATTATAGCTAGCTGCGCTAGGAGTGAATATCTTCCTTGATAGCTAGTATCCATTAAATAAAAATACAAATCACAATTATATATTTTAATTTTCAACTGTACTGTACTATGAAACATACATTTATTAAAATTATTTGTATGGCAACAAAAATTAACAATAGCAACATATTCTAAATACCACTATTTTTGTTCATCAATAGAGAAATAACCCTGACATAATATATCGTTTGTCTATAGAAAATATTATTTTGTAAAGTACTATGTGAAATGCGAGAACCATGGAACAGGTACATACTGGTAAAGGTTAATAACAAAAACATTTAATAACAGGCAATACTTAACAAATGATAAAATATATAGAGACGAGAAATATAAATAAAACTATCTTTTCGCATTATTTCGCAGATTTAGTTTGATTTTTGGTTCCCGACGTTTCGAATACTTTACACAAGTACATTATAACGCCTTTGAAACGTGTAAAACCTTAGTCTCTCCCCTGACCATGATTGTTGTAAAGCATTCGAAATATCAGGAACCAAAAATCAAGATAAATCCGCGAAATAATCCGAAAAGATAGTTTTATATAAAATGTCAAATATTGGCGTAAATCTAAGAAAGTACCTATTATAAGAAATACAAAATCAAATTCTGGTCCCAGTGAACTATCCTTCAGGTCAAAGAATTTATTAATAACAAATTACTGTGACTTGATTTTTAAGGGTACCTATTGACAAATAGAATAATTAACATTATATTGAATTATTTTACTGCGAAAATAAACGAAATTACACAATTTCTTATATTGAAAATTAAAAGCTAATTACGGTTTTTTTAATATAACAAGACTCATAGTAAAGGAGTCTAAAGCAAATAATGCTAATCGTAATCAATTATCATTTAAAAAATTATGGTAACTTCTTAATTTAAAATTGACGTTGAATTGAAATGATTAAAATGACAAATAGAGGTACTTAGTATGGAGGGTAGAATTAAGGAGAACCAACTTATATGGGAAACAAGTTGAAAAAGTGTAGTGGTGAGCAGCAAATTGTAATTCAGAAACTCACCGATGTAGCGTTAGCGTAGCAAGTACATGTGAAGTTAGCAGTTTTAAACGGAGTGCAGTGTGCTGAATTATTGTTACTTGAAAATAATATGTAATTATATTCTATAACGGTAATTGTCTATGTTAGAACTATTTTGAAAAAGTGCATCACAACAAAGCGGAAATCTTTCTTTCATTGTTGAATTCACCATCTTACTCTTATGGCTTTTGGCGCTTAAGTTTTAAATTCATTTACTTCTTTTTTTTGTGGCGCCACCAATTTGATGCTTGTCAGCGGTCACTTTTTATACGAGAGATAGTTCTCTTAATTCTACCCTCCATATTACTCAGGTAAGACTCTGTTCTATTGTGAGGTATATGAAACGGAAATTACCATTATTAATTAATTCGATTGACAAAAGTGTTACAAAATAACATGATTAAATTATCATTTAGGTTCATTACATGTCGAAAGTAAAATACTATCAAAAGTACATTATAAAAATTAAACATATTGATATGATTAGCATGAAATTTCTTAAAAATAATTGTAACTTTTCTGACAAACAAATATGTGAGCAACAAATGTCAATGTAAATGAATTAATTGATTATAGACACAAATTGAAAGTACATACCTATAAAACTACAAGGAACAGGAAAACCTTTAATCTTTTCATCTACTAGGGATCACCCTAGCTTCGCTTCGGGTTTGCCCTTAATGAAAAACACAAATATATCCCACGGGAACCGTACATTTTTCCGGGATAAAAAGTAGCCTATGTGCTGTTCCAGACTATAATCTGTCTCTGTGCCAAATTTCATTCAGATCCGTTCAGCTGTTCTGGCGTGAAAGAGTAACAAACATCCATCCATCCATCCTCACAAATTTTCACATTTATAATATTACTTATTAGTATTTTCCAATACAGTATTAGGTTTGAATACAAATCAATATGCATAACAGATACACCTAACAAGTAAATGCATACATTTTTTGGAAATACTTTATTAAATAATGTATTTCCTCTGCTATTATAATTTGAACGCAAAGTGTACAGAGTCTTGAATAGTGCATAACAATCAAGGTAAAAAACGTACGAATTTACTTGAGATCGGCTATGAACAGTTTTTACAATAATGGTTTCTAATATTTTAACCAGTCATATATCTTAGGGGCTTATGCACACCGCGTTTTACAAACGCCCCGGCGATGCGCTCATCACAAACGTACATCGCTTGCGTATATTCTGCACTGATATATATTAAACGCAGGTTGCTTGCGCTCATATCCATACAAACGCATGACAATCGTCCGTCGTTAGCGCGTTACAAAGTCATCGTGTGCATTGGTCTTAAGTAGTGGTACAACTCCCGCGGTTAAACTAACCATGTTTGTTTAACTTTACGAGTAGAATTATAAATTGATATCAATAACTAAAACAATCAACAACAGAAACATTTTAAATACAAAATTATGTACCCTTTAGAGTTTAGACAAACGCAATTATTCAATATTATATATATCTTAAAAATTAATTTATTAAAGTAATAATAGGAGGTTCCACGCAAAACTATAGATTATTTAATGTGTTCATGTGCAATTTCAAATAGTTCTAACGTTTGAACCAATCTTTTAATAATAATAATATATTTTTAAGCGTGCCAGTTTAAGCACAATTTATTCTGCCAATCTCACATAGAATAGGGAAGACGTGATGCAGATTAATCGGTAGAACAAGATTATTTTACTATATCTAGAACTTAACCACGTTTAAAATGAGTAAAATTGTATTTTAAATTGCACATATAACAAAATAAAAGTCACATTATCCAAAAAGCTGCTGCTCTGCGTTCACAAGTGACATGTCTGATGTCAATCTCGTCAACTGATATATCTGTCATATCATATTCTTTTGGCGCCATCAACAGAATTGCAGGGAGACCTCCCATTACAAAATTCTCTATTATACTGAATTCATATCGTGGTTAAAAATAATGATTATAAAATATACATACAGCTTTTAAATATTTACTTATTTCTTGTGCGATACAGTCTATAGGTAACTTTAAAGATACTATAAAACTAATAAGAATATGAATATAATTTAAAGCCTGCTAAAGAAATACGTAGTATGCACCAATACTTATAAAATAGATAAACTATTAAATATTGTTAAATCTAATAAAGATGTGAAAGTGGACGTTATAAGGCACCAAGAGTGTTTAGAATATAAATTTTGGACTTTAAAAATCGCTTAGATCAGAAATATATATTATACACAAATCCTGAATCCACTTTCAACAAATATTAGGTTCTTTTGAAAATAGAAATATTTATCGACTTAAATATGTAGTATGTTTGCCAAAATGTCGGCCATCTTTGCAAAATAAGAAGTATAGCAGGTAACACAGGCAAGTATCATAAAATATTATGCAAAAAAATCTGAGACTATAGTACAACTATTAAATAGTAAAACATATTAGCAAAACATTAAATAGGATTTATGATTAGTAGAAAAATGTATATGAATATTAAAAAAAATTATACCACTGTCAGGTTGGAACAAGATGCATGGCGAGTATTAAATTTTTTTAAATGACCTACAACAGTTATAGTTAATTTATAAATTTCACATTGATAAAAAACATCAAATGCCTACAATTTCTAGGTTGCATTGTATTTTTTATCATTATTTTATCTAAATAATGGCACTATATGGAATGTGGGGAAATTATTTGTAAATAAAGTAAAAATAAAAAACAATTATTATGCTAAATTAACATAAATATAACATATTTAAAATGGAATAATTGTTAATAAGCCAATATATAACCAATATATATTTGTATTAGAGTATAATTTTAACTTTTATAAGGATAATTGATCGTTTTCAATGTTTATTTCTGTAAAGTTTCATTATGCCAACTTTCAGTTTTATATGTAGGTACTTTTTTAAACGGAACTACTAATAAATATTTTTCAAGTAGTGGGGATGACCTACATCAAGAAATGATATTATCCAAAATTTTTTTTTTTTCAATAAAGAGTATTTTTGTTTAAATTATTATTATTAATAAATACCCTATGAGTATATTGTCATACGAAACTTTTTGACTAGGAAAAATTAACTGCACGTTGAAATAACATTTTTTCCTTACACACTAATAAAGATATTTCACTTTGGCCTCAAAAATGGCCAAATAATCTAATAATTGATAATATTCATTTTGTTTATATGCATTACGTTAATTACCTTTCAAAAACCATCTTAGTTTTATATACTAAATACCAGTAAGAAGATTTTTTATCTTTGGTATACCGTATAAACCTTCTAAAGAGAGACAGTATTCAAACTTTATATTTATACAACTATAAATCGCAAATTTCGAATAAAATCAACACACTTTAAGAAGTGCTGGTCCTTTGGAAAGCGTTGCATAACGATGATGTACAGAAATTCGGTCGGGGCACAAAAGGGTTTGCATCGATCCTTTTACAATCCGGCAATAAGAAAACCACACTGACAGCTATAATCATATGCCATAGGGAGTGAACAATTTTGTAATTTTGCTCTGTTTGTAAGAACGCGTAACATATCAGACCCACTGAAACCAATGTCAGACCCAACGGCATATACGTAGTGTAATACGAACGGGGGAACCTCATTATTTTGGTTTTATCATAGTCCAAGTACCAACTAACAAATATAGTTATAGCACCAAACGTGACTGGAAACGCAAAAGCGAAAAATGAATGCATATTCCAAGTAGTCAAAAGTGCTATTACAATTGCGCCTATAATTTGAAGGAACGAGCGAAGTTTCATGCCTATTATGCTCATAGCCAGTAAAGTTACCCAAAAAGACATTAAACCACAGTAGAAATCACCAAATTGTAATATATTACCGCGTATAATGCAATAGGCGACTTGCGCAGGCGCATCGCATGCGTGATAGAAGGTCGAGAATATCATAGTGAATGCATACATGACTGCTTCAATGAAGTACAACCGTATAGTGGCTACATAAATGGAAAAGAAAAAGAGAAGATTACTTAATGTTAGTAATAAAACAGCGAAAATCATGTATATGTGACTGTCTATCCTCGAATCGTCCGAGCAATCCCAGCCTGAAAACAAACAGATATTTCCATTTTAAAAGTTTTATTTGCAAACACAACGATACCTTAAAGACGTTACAAGAATTTCGTATAATTATGTACTGCACGTACTTAATGATATGTTATTTTGATTAGATGCGTAATCAATTATATTATTATTAGGTTACACTTCATTTATCGCACATTTCTGTTAATTATATAAAGGATTAATCTTTATTTCTATCTCTACGCTATTCTTTAAAGTCAGTATAATTTTTTTTTCTTTTTGCAAGTTTTAAGTTTTTAATAACAGCCAGTGCCATGTTTTAATTTAACTAGATCAACAAAGTTAGTATCATGATGTAAAAATTAACTTTAGGAGGGAATCGAACTCACTACCATGAGCGAAGCGAAAGACCATGAGAATGACTGAGATAATCTCTAACGGTTTTTTATGAATTTCTGGCTTGATTTACAGACATTATAATATCTTTTAAATTAATTTCGTTTGAAGTTTGAATAACCACAAATAAGTAAAAATCGACTATAAGTCGACTGTTCAAAAAGTCAAATGTGAATCGATTTTTACTTTTAGATTTGAAATTTAAAGCTTATTAAAGAAAAAAATAGTAGGTACACTTACCACCATAACCAGCTGAACATGAACAGTACGACATAACGATACCGCTGAAAGTGTTATATCCACAGTTGCCATGGTTACTGCATCTCCCGCTCACGCACGACGTCGACGTCACCGACACTACTACCGTCGCGTTACAATCAGTCTCACCTTCTCTCATAACACTTGAAAACCCACTAGAATCTACTATATCCATCTCTTTCGTGTTCACGTAATATTTACTACCGTTGTGCGATGTGCGACAAGGACAAACTACATTATCACAGAATAACCGCAGCGTTAAATACCATAAACCACCTTCTGGGTATGGAATTATTAATTTATCGTAGATAGAGTCTGAGTCTGTGCTGTTTAGGACGAACAAAGCTGGTCTCAAGCGATCGTTATATTTGCAATGACCACTTTGCAACGGTATACTCGCATGGTCGATGTTCAAGCAAATTACTACTTTAATAAATGGATTGTCTTCTGTAAACGCTAAGAGTCCTCCTTTCTGAAGATCCCTTTTATAGCCCATGTAATATTTTATACTCATCAATAGGCTCGCTTCGATCGCTAAACTGCCACCAATGTCTATAAACTGATTTATTTCAAACCTTAGAGACCTTGTTTCATTCGAAGTTATGTTCACCAAGCTCGTTACATCACCTAAATCAGTCGTGGCTAGGCCGTAATCAAATGTGAAGAATCTATCTTTATCGTCTCTCATGAGATCCATTAAAACAATATTTTCAGCTTCATCATAATCTCTTAGAGCGTATGACTCACAATCGACTATGTGTGACGTGTTTCCTTGTATAGTTTCTATAAGGATAAAGTGGGCAGCAGTTGGGAAGGTATGGAAAATGATAATTTGTTCATTATTCATTCTTGGATCGAATACACAGTACAATATATAATTATCCTCTGTTGGAAATGATTCAGGCTCGATTCTGACCGTTACTTTACTATTTGAAGTGGTTGCATTGACTAAATTTATATTAAGTTTTATTGGTTCTAAGCTGTCTTCAGCTCGACATTTGTATAGGGCCGGTAAAGTCGTATAATCTATTGTTAATTTTTTGTAACAGTTCGTGTAACGGGAGGTTTCGTCAACTTTTGTTTGTAGGTCTGTGTAAAGTATTGTGCTGCAGGCGGCGACTAGACCTGTAATAATAATATTAAAATAAAAGATAGTATACATTATTATTAGTTTTTGTATCTTTTGTATATACCTAATACTTATAAACTTAATAAAAAAAATTCTCGCATATATAAGAAGCCTTATGCTAATACCTTTATTTTGTTTGAATCTATCACAAACCAATAGCTCTATTGACGATTATTAAAAAGTCGTGTTTTTGGTCCAACTTTCGCGTGAGAATTTCAAATATTATGACATAAAAATATTGTAAACTAGCGACTCACCCCCGCTTCGCTTCGGGTTCGTCCCTAGACAAATACACAAATCTATCTCACGTGAACCATACGTATTTCGAGGTGGTATAGATGAATAAACGGACCGTCTAATACAAAAAGAATTTTTACAATCGGTTTAGTAATTCCTGAGATTAGCGCATTCAAACAAACAAACTCTGTCTCTTTATAATATTAGTATAATTAGTATAGATTCTTATTTGGTGGTACTATTTGCATAATGAAGATAAACAGATATCAATTAACATTTTATGGTATCATGTTAATAAACATAGACCATAGTGTCCACTTATATTTGATTAACCTAAAAATAACGTATAATCATAAAAAAACCTTAATAATATTAACATCTATAAGTGCACACACAACTTTATATGTATTAATAATGTATATAGCGCAGTGTCAAATGCATTCTGCCGGACAGAAACAGTCGGTTAGAACACCTACAGTAATTGAATAAAATAAGCCACGTATAGAAGTGGGTCGGAAGCTGTAACAATCACTGCGATCTCGCATCGAGGCCAATCTAAGGCACATATTGTATTTTGTTGATAAATTCTGATTCGGTTCGCACAAAACACCAAAATAACTTTTATCGGTATTTTTAATTACCTTAAAACTCCCCTACGTTATAGATTAATGCATTTTTAATGTTGCTTTGTAATAAACAAATTTAGGATTTTAATATGATGGATTATTTCTATACCTATAATGCAAGATATTTAAAAATGCAATAAAATTTCAATAAAAATAAAATAAAAATATAAAAAAGAACGATAAAATCCCAAAACAAAAAAAATCAAAGGATTGATTTAATATTTTTTGGAAAATCTTATTGAAATAGTCATTATTATCGATACAGAGGCTGAATCTAAAGTTTTTAAAAATTTTGCCTGTCTGGGAACACATGATAAGACCATTGGACAAATTTTCATGTGGTATATAATGATAACTGGTTATCCGGGTCAACATATAGGATACTTTTTACTGCGGAAATGTATCTCATCTCTGAAAAATAGGGACGAACCCGAGCGGAGCGAGGGTAAGTTGCTAGTTTAAATATAACTTGAATCTTTGGCACAGTTACCAATATAAGCAACGAAAATTTGTGTGACAATTCTGTCAATAGTAGCTCCCTAAAATGTTTATAAACAGAGATAATTTCTTTATGTTATCTAACATTACTAGAAATTTCGTGTCCATAAAATACCAGACGATTGTTATGACATTTTCGAAAAATTAATGTGGACATTTAAGCCAACTTTTGCGTCGTAGAGTGACAGGCAGTTTATATTACACATTTTTGCCTACTCGTATGTTTTTTTTTGTATTCGTGTTACATCACCAGCAGGTTAGGTATGTGAAGGATACAGTACAGATTACGTATGATAATATATGCTTTTTCGGTTTACGTGCCCTATTCAAATATTTAAGCAAAATTAAGCAGGCGTAGCGTGTATGGGCACGTTTTTATATATTGTAAACAACTAAACTTCCTGAGGCCGGTGACCACGTTTGCTGTAGACTCTTCAAAACGATGGGAATCAAAAAGCAAAATTTAGCCGCGAAAAATAGTTTCACTTATAATGTCCAATATTCGCGCAAACCTAAGAATATATTATATTCTAAATTAATTATGAACTATATATCAATTTGATTTAACCGACATCCTTATGTAGATTAAAAATTTTAAAAAATTAAAGAGTGCGTGTATGAATGTGTACACGCGCAAGAAGTAAAACTTCTGTAGGTTATCGGTACTCTTTGAAGTGAAGTTAAAATTCAATTTATGTTTTAAATAATTAGGATAAGTGAGATACTAAAAAAAAAGTGTGTGTAAGTGGAGCATCGATTATCCGAACGTCGATCAACCGAACGACCGCTTATCCGAACTAATACGCCCGCTCGACCCGCGCGTGTTTCTCCCGCCTCCCGCGCTACAGTACTTGTCGCGACTTGTTAATTATTGTACTCTTATGTCACTTCCAACTTCCAAGTAACCGCTAGTCGATAAAGTAAAGGGTCTAGCCGTACTTCCATGGCGAAAGTCCCCCCCATAGGAACTTATACCGTAACCAATGTTATATTGTAGAGGACACTAATAGTAATTGATCCAGTAAATATTAGATCTATATCTTAGTCAATTGAGGAGTTATATGAAAAAAGTTTCCGGGGACGACTTTTTTTCAAAGCGATATATCTTAGTTCATTTCAAAGCTAGCAAAATAAAACAAAATGTAAGTGTTATACTAAGCTTTATAGTTTATTTTATAGCTGTTTCCTATGGGCCAGGTCTAAATAAAAATATTAAAAAATGCAAATAAAAATTTTGTCAATCGATTTCTATTCGATCGATTATCCCCCAATTAGTTCGGATAATCGACGCTCTACTGTACTTATGTACGCACGTAAGAAGTTATGCTTCTTTGGCGTAAACAGAACAAAAATAGCTAAACCCGTGACATATATCACAACTCTCTGATTGTAAAAAGAATGATAAATTTTAATAAAAATAATTAAATAACGCATATTAGGCATATTGCAATCATATATTTATAGAATATCATTTAAGGAAAGAAAATAATATTATATATCATCATCTGACAATAACAACGGTTACCATGGCAACAACGTTGGCCTCGTCCGATCAAAATTTTCGTAACGCTCTCGTCACGCATTCACCAGCTCACTCCCCAAGTCAAGCGTGCGTAAAGAAGTTTTACTTCAAAAAGGTTGTCAATATCTTTAAATTTTAATTACAAGCTGACTCTTACCTTGCTGTTCAACTTTTTGTATCCTCGGATCCTCCCATTTAATATACGCTAGAGCATACCATATACCAGGCTTAGGATTTTTCATGAAATAAGTTATATTGTTGCCGTCTGATAAAAGGTTCAGTGTGTACATATTTTCTCGAATACCAACATCAATAAAATTCTTTGGAAATGGATATCCATCTGGATTGACTGTCGGAAATGAGCCATGTTTTAAATGTACGATTACTTCTTTAGGGCTGCAAGAACCTGAAAGGTCGAAATTTCAAAAAAATTAGATAAATCCTCAGAAAGTCCTTGTAAACGATAATGAGATCGTCAAAGGTACAAAATCGTGAAGTTCTTTTTTTTATTGTCAACTTCTTTTTTAATGTTGGGAAATACATTTACGTATACCACCAGCATGCATACATACAGTTGCTTGTCGTTATGTAGGACTCACTAAAAGATAACAGAACCATCCTTGTTTTAATGGAAAGTCGCAGGATTACTTAACCACATTGAGCCGATGCCCCTCGAGGCAGACTATGTCAACCTTAAAGTTGCTTCCCCAGTTCACTATACTATCAAAGAAGTTCCAGGAGTTACCTGCATAGCACAACACCCACTGAAATGGACTGCCTCCCAGAGTACTACATTCTAAATTGGTAAATTTTTAATTCTAAACTCCTAAAAATCTAATATGAGACTTTCTTAACACTTGAAAGACTCTTTTGCAGTAATGTTAACTAACTGCCAACAAAACTAAAACTGGTCCACAGATAATTCAATTATAATAGATCAATTCTACTAAAAAATATAATCTGCGGAGCGGTTGTAGCTAATAGCTATTTAGCTTTTGTCCTTATACTAAGAACACACATAAAAAACTAACTTATTCTATTATAATATGTACTTATGTATGTTTGTATTTATGTATGGATGTATGTATGATGTAAGTATGTATATATGTATATACATATGTATTTATGCAAGTACACCGCCTAACACTTTATATCTCTACCCTAAGGTTGCCTGAAAGGGAGCGCTTCAAGCGATAAGGCCGCCTGCTGTGCATCTTTTTTTGTTATATATTTCACTTCTTTATTTATTTCTTGTGTGGTGTGCAATAAAGTGTTCATTATTATTATTATCATTATAACTTATCTAATATTTAAGATTCAATTAGATTTTCATTACATTTTATTGATAATATGACATGTGTCCCTGCAGGAAAACAAAGGAAAAATAGTGTGTATGACAATTATGGTGTTTAGCCATATATACAGTATATCTATTTGTGAATTGTTTTGTATTTAAATTGAAGCTTAATTAAATTAAAATAGTAGACAAATTTTGGAACTTTCACTTGTGTGAATTAATATTATTATGGAAATACATTATCAAGTAATATTAACAATTTAATTTTTCAAGCCTAAATATTATTCCATTCAGAGAAAACTTCATATTATAAATAAGTGTATATATAATAAGAATCTGTTGCATATCAAATATCATAAATAGGATGACATACTAGGATGAATTATGAACACTTCCTGCCATTAAGAAATTATAAGAAACTGTGTGGGTCAGGTTAACTACAAGTTCTTTAAACAAGTATTTATTCAATAAGTTGGAACATAAACTAGTATGACTTCATAGATATTTTATTAATTATTACTAAAGCCAAGAAATAAAGTAAGCCAAGACGAATAAAACGCATTCGGATTATACTGTAAATCAATGCAAAATTAAAATAAGGTATTACTGATGAAATAGCTGTAAAGGTTGTTGATAATAGTCATGTCATCATACCTATATTGTTCAAATGAAGTTCCTCTGATTGAAATGTAAAGCGAGCATCGCTAACATCGTTAACGACACGATAAAATACGAGAGACACCGTACGATAACTTCTGTACATGTGTACATCGATTCCGACATGTCTAGTCACCAATTGATATCCTTCTAAAATTACAGGACGAGTGTTCATTAATTGTTCAATTATCCTCCTTTTCTTGTCTTCGATCTCAGATTCGTTATCATTGTTGCAGGCCACATAACAAACAAGTAACACTAATATATAAACTATTCTCATTTTAAACTGTAATTACCACATAAATACAATTTAATTCAAAAAGTGGAATTTACAATTTATTCATATATATTTTTCACTGCTGTACAATAAATTTTATTTAATGTAATAATTTTCTATTTGTTTTTTCCATTTATATACATTTTTCGGACGGCAGCGATCGATAAACCTGCACTGTTATCAGTCGACATGACACTGACACTTGACAACTAATAAATCTGAATTAGGAAGTACGATATTAATCGATTTTATTGTAGATACAAGTTACTAGCTCGATTTGACACAATGATCGTTCAAACTTACTACTAAATTATTCTTATATATGTATATACTCGTAGTACCTGGGCCACCGAGCTTCGCTCGGAGTTTTTGGTCTACAGTATTTTTTTAAACTAAAAACCTGTGAATTGTTGATTTTGCGATTTAGCCGCTTGACCACGATGCTTATATCAGAGTGCACGAAACTATTGACCATAATTTGCGTGGAATAATGCGAAAGAAAACTGCATAAAAACTTAAAAAATATTTTTTTCATAATTTTGCGTCTATTCGTTAACGGATAAGGTGGAATAGGAAATCTTATTTAACCATGATGGAACTTTTTTTCCTGAGAAAGAAAAAGTTTTTGCTGTTACTATGATTGCTATTATATTTCAAAAGGCATTAGGTGTGAAGCTATTGCTATTATATTTTGGAAGGCGCAAGTTGTTAATAAAAAATAATTTAATATTTTTTTCAAATTTTGAAAATTCACTGTTTTCGGATTTTTCTCTTATAATGCACACGATTACCCATCTGGACACCAAATTTCAACTTTCTAGGTCATCTGGAAGTGGGTTAGGTTTTACTACGATATGTCAGTCAATCAGTGATAAAAATGACGATTTTTAGACGTTAATATCTCCATAACCGTTTGAGCTGTATTTTTGAAATTGGGAATTCAAGTTAATTTAAGGAAATTTAATAAATGAACCAAATTTCAAGAGTTTATATTAAATAGATTTTAAGTTATTACGAGGTGAAAAGTGGCTGCAAATGGTTCGTGTAAATGTACACACGGTGCAGCGTCGCCAGTTCCTTTGGCTCAAACTTGGTTGGACACGCTACCGCCTGTCTTGATTTGTTTAAGAGATTAGATATTATCTCATATTATTATCCCTTAAATGTACTACTACAGAGGAGCTTTATACCTAATTAACTTAAAAAGTACCTCAATCTAGCCTAATACTGATAAAAAACAATTTTTATTTGACTTTTTTAATAGAAAAAATTTGGTTGTATGTCGATATTTCACCTCGGCTCTTTTGAAAATCGGACTTAAGTACTTTATTCCAAGTGCCTACCCTGTAGTCCAAAAGAGTAGTTTCTACGATAGACTTGTCTGTATTGCATAATGGAAGTGGATTAAAAGGGAAAAATTCAATAAAACTTCTGAGTATTTCTAAATATTTTAATTTTACACATTTTATTTGACTAAAATATTATTTATTAGAATTAATCATATTTAGTTTTATATCAATGCTATTCGTAAATATCGATTCAATATTTCGATTATCGCTTTGCCCTTCAATAAAATGGGCTCTAAGGCTGTTTGTATAATGCATTTTAAACACGACAAGCCAATACAAAAATTAATCGAACTCACGGATTCTTTAAAACAAAAAAAATAACATGATATAATGGTTGAAAGAGCATTTTAAATGGTTACACTAAAAACCAAGGTCGCAAAATATAAATAATTATATGACAGTTGGTAACACTACAAATTGAAAAACCTTTTTGCTGTTTGGATTCTGCGCGCGCATGTCTCGCTTCCTCGCAATTGCATAAATTTTGGAAGTTTGTGCTTTGCAGAATAATGGCTTCGACTATAGATTCGAAGCCCGCAGAAGTGAACGGCGAATGCCCGTGTGAAAATAAAAAATATAAAATGGAAAATAATAATAAAGTGACTGTGGTCCTGGGTGCCCAATGGGGTGACGAAGGAAAAGGAAAAGTGGTGGATCTCCTTGCGGTAAACTCCGACATCGTGTGCCGCTGTCAGGTTATAAATATTTCAATTTATTATTAATTTTCTATCATAAAGTATGTTTATTTTGCATGATTAATTAACTTTTAAGTGTTTATGAATGCTTTATGCAAATCAATTCACAGTCTATTCATTACTTTTCGTTGAACTTTATTCAAAACAATCTTTGAGGTTATAATATGAGTAATTGTAATGTTTTCTTTATTATTATGAGAAACAATTCAATTATCTTGATCCTTAAATTATATATTTTATTTTAAATTGCAAGTTCACTTTTCTTATTTGAACACAGTACAACTGGCAATGTGCCAGTACGTTTGAAAATATTATGAATTTGTTTTGTATTAAATTCTAGCTAAAGTCAGTGGGTTACATTGTTTTTCTTTAAACTTACATTAATCTCTACGTAATATGTTCATTACGTAATAATTGTGCGCATTTCCCGCGAATGTTGCATTAGTTTTTTTAATCATGTGACCATGATTGATGTGTATGGTAATAGCTACGTTTTGAAACGCAAATAGATGTCATGAACAGTGAACGCTAATTGTGGATTATTGCCAAGGTCTGGGGCATTATTGTTACGCTCCCCAGCTATAGTATTTTCGATTTTTGTTAAATTTTCATCTAGCATTATATATAAATACTTTGTAGTAATTTTATCATTAGAGTTGTATTAAAAAGATGAGCTTGAATAGGTTATGTAATTCACTGAAATCTGATATAGTGAAAAAAAAACATTGTATTCATAACTTATTTGACTTTAATCAAGATGTGTTATAGGATGTTCCAAGAACCAATTACTTTATTTAAGTTTAACATCATCAGTTCCTTGATAAAACCACTGTTAACCAGTTCATTTGATAAAGCTTGTTTTGGTTAGTCACCTAATTATACAGATGGTACTGCATTGAACTTGTCTGTAATAATTTATGAAACTCGATGAATTATCTCAATTAAAATGACCAAGTAATTGCAATCTTTGATTACACAGCTGTTTTATATCATCAAATTTATATAAATTAAGATTTTTAAAATAATAAATTCCTATTAGATAAATAAAAAATATATAGATTTGGTAAATTCTAATAAATAAAAGAAATTTAGCACACTATAAATCAGCACATATATACATATAATTCTTAATTAATTTAGTAGAAAATATGAATGGTTGAAGTAGATAATGTTATTAATTTTAATCCTATTGTAATTTCTATCGTCAATTATACAGATACATTAGTAGCATAGTTGAAACAAAAAGCAAAATTTTGAGATTCTGTTGTGATTTCAAACCAAACGCAACCCATTCAGAATTATATTGACAGACTCTAGACAAACATTGTATAAGGGTTTATTGAAAGCAACATATAAGACAGAGGTGACCTAAAGAAGGATAAATTCATCCCCTAAAGGATTAAACTTTTATGTTGCTATTAAAAAAATGTCATTGAACATGTTGATTATCTCTTACTATATTCAGACTGACTTGTTACATGAATTAAATTTATAAGTTTCTACAATGTATGTATCTAGCAACAGATAAACATAGTATGTTTTGTCATGACTCATTTTATTCACAAGGTCTTTTAAAATTATTTATTACTAGCAGAACCCGCGGCTTCGCTCGCGCTAAAACTACAAAACAAAACTCTAAAATGGTAGGTTTCATACAAACTTCCATCTGCTATTTTACCATGGGATCATATCATGGGATGAATTTCGAAAAATGCTAAAACACGTTTTTGATTGTATTAAAGAGCATTGATACCAAGTTTCGAGTAATTCTGATCATAAATATTTTTTGGATTGTATTATAACTTGTTTTCCCGTGGTAAAAAGTAGCCTATGTCACTCTCCAGCCCTCCAACTATATCTACACAAAAATCACGCAAATCCGCCAAGCCATTTCGACGTGAAAGAAAGACAGACAAACAAACAAACACACTTTCACATTTATAATATTAGTATGGATTTACATAGTGATCTCACTTTATAAGAACTCTTATAAACTGTATTTACTATAGCTTTAGCTATCTATGTACTGCAGGTATAATTGATTGGCTTTACCTAAAACTAAATGAAATTTATTTCAATTTTAAAGCTAATTCATTAGGTAAAAATCCTTTCAATTGCACTTTACATAAGTAGTTTTATCAATAAAAGTAAATGATGTGAAGACCTATGAATGAATATATTCACACGAGCACAGGAATAAATATATATCTACATGTTACATCATAAAGTTAATCCTGCTAAATATTAGCATCTATCTTTATGTCACAAAACATAGTGATAACAGGACATTGATTAAGATACTTTAGATAACTAGACAGATAAACTTTTAAGAGATACTTATCATTTTCAAGAGTTATCTATACATACAGATGAATAAAATTGAAGTGTCTGTTTGTAATGTTAAAATAACAGCTTTTCACTAAGTGCACATGAAATTATTATTTAGGGTACTTATACGAAAAACGCAATTTTTAATTTTCTGTCTGTCTGCCTGTTCTGGTTATCTCCGAAACGGCTGAACTGATTTTGACGGGATTTTCACTCATAGATAGCTGATATTATAAGGAATAATTTAGGCTACTATAAGAAAAAGAAGAGCCGAGCGAAGCGAGGGTAAGTCGCTAGTCTATTATATGATGGAAAGATCTGATATGTGTGTATCCCAGAAATGTCAATTTTAGTTATTTATCATTAATTCACATAAATTTATAATCACATATGCATATAGAAGAGATATAAGGTTGACTGCCATTTATTTTTTTATGACAGACAGACAGTCAGTTAAATTCTCACAATACACAATAGGTCCAATATTGATTTGGGTGATGATGTATCAATAAAAGCAACCTTATACATTTACAAATTACTTCAAAGTTCTATAGCTGAATTCGCCAAATCGTTATCTGCCTAGTCGTTTTGTGATATGTTGTCATTTCGTTTCGTTGCGATAAGCCTAGGCAGATTACGTTCCGACGAATTTAATTATTGCACTTCGAGAATCATCTATACTAATATTATAAAAAAGCGGAGTTCATTTGTTTGTTTGAACGCGCTAATCTCGGAAACTAATAATCCGATTTGAAAAATTATTTATGCATTACATAGCTCGTTTATTGGCGAAGGCTATAGGCTATATATCTTACAATATATAGTCTATCTACTCCACACTTACCGTTAAAACGTACTTAGGGACAAACCCGAGCGAAGCAAGGGTGAGTCGCTAGAGTATTACGAGTATGTATGTATGTACATATGTAGATATGTTAGACGTTAGTGCACACTAGTAATAATAATTAGAATAAATATTTACTTTTCTTCCATTTTGTGTTTATATTTCCAAACAATAACAATTCTTATCTTAATGATTTTTTCATGATAAGTTTGTTTATCTGATTAAAGTATTAATTAAATGATATACTAGTCTCAAAAATGCTAGTGGTGGCATGAAATTTAGTAGTGCTAAGTCGACCGGAAATAAAATATCAGATATCAGCAATAACTATAGATAGGTATGCGCCATGGCGGCTATCCTACTCTTTATATCTAAGAGCATATGAATATGCTCGTTTTTAACGTCCCACTTCTGGGCATAGGCCTACTTTCAATGCAAGGGACTTGCTAAGTTCTCTCAGACATGCAAGTTTCCTCACGATGTTCTCCTTCATCGTAAGACAAGTGATAATCATGTTGGAAAAGATTCGCACATGAAAATAACAGGTGACGAAACCCCAGATTTGAACCGGCTTCACTTGGATTACCAAGCGAGCGCGTTACCACTGGACTACCACTGCCTTCAAGTATTAGCTTATGCATATCACGTTTTTTCAACTCGTTCATGGCGCGTTAAAAAGTCGTCGTGTGCATAGGCGATAAGCGTGGTAGTGTTATACTGCTATGAATAGCGTAACTTTTTAATTGTCGCTTGTGTATCTCCCATTCCTTCCGGCGGAACTATATTTATCAAGCAAGTGCAAATATACTATCTACCCGGTAAGGCGGTTATGCTGTTTTCTCTAAACTTCATACCTACTAAGCACATGTTAGAGAATATCGCTTATATCTGAACAGGCCTTAACTCGGTACGAGTAAATAGCTAAATACTAAAAATTGCTATTTAAAAAAACTTGTACGTAATTATAATAATCATTATTTATTTAATATTAACATTGCCCGCGGCTCCGCCCGCGTTCAGATGACCGAAAACCAAATTGTTAGGTTTTACATATTAGTACACTCATTCATTTCATTGCAGTGTTTGTATTTTTTCTCAGAAATGAGACATTTTCCCGCGGTAAAAAGTATCCTATATGTTGACCCGGATAACCAGCTATCACCATACCAAATTTCATCAAAATCCCTCCAGTGGTTTTTCTTTGATGCGGTAACAGACAGACAGATAAAAAATCTAAAAACTATAGATTCGGCCTCTGTATCGATAATAATGTCTATTTCAATAAGATTTAACAAAAAATATTTAATGTACAGATTCGGCTTAGTTACAATTTTATTATATGTATACATTTATAGGTACAACTAAGTTTTAAACAACTTTAAAAAATAACTATCAATGCAATTATGTATTGACAATGTCTTGTTGTTTGCAATTTATGTTTCCACAGAGAAATCTAAACAAATATCTAATATCAAGGTCTATTATTAAATGGAATTGTTATTTTTGTTTAAAATGACGAAATGGCGTCCTAAATTGATAGTGAAAGTCGAGTGAACTTATTAACTTGTAAATTTTTCATAACAAAAGGCCCAGACGTTAAAAATCCATTTTGACCGATTTAATAAAAGGCACTCGATACTTTCTTAGATTTTCGCGAATATTTGATATTTTAAATAAAACTATTATTTCGGATTATTTGGCGGATTTATTTTGATTTTTGGTTCCCGACGTTTCGAATGCTTTACAGCAATCATGGTCACGGGAGAGACTAAGGTTTTAGACGTCTCAAAGGCGTTATACACTTGTTACAGACAGTGAATACCCACAATTTTATTTGTAAAATGAACTTTTTGAATTTTTCAAATCGTGTCGAATTGAGAACCTACTCCTTTATTTTCGCGGGTTTTAAAAAATGCTAGTTCCGTCCTAGAACTTATTCCAAAATGCAAATGCTAATGCAAATTATAGTATAATTAAATCTATTTTCTATAAAGCCATATAAAATAATTATATACAATAACTAATTAATCTGAAAACCGCTATAATATTACGAACATTTAGTGCTTGATATTGGTACTTTTATCTTCACGCTGTATGATGATATCATGCCGGCGCTGTAGACCGGAACACTTACCTGGTATTCTGTAATCGTTAATAAATAACTGAGAATTTGCACCTTTATATATGCAATACATTCGGAATTTAATTTTCACATATCGATTTTTAGTTACTAATGTTTGCAATTTATTTTTTCCTGATCTCATAAATAAAAGCGGACACTCAATAATGCATTGTCTATGGAAATAAAAGGCGATACTCGATCTGCGATCATGTATTGTCTATGAAAATAAAAGTCCATGTCTTAAAACCTAGCAGAACCTATCTTCAATGTATGTCATGAATTTTGTGTTTTTTTCGTCGCGAGGAGATATTACCTTTATTATCTCTTTCTAACTTTTATAAATCATCTTAATAAGATATAAATACTGTAGCTGTATGTATTGTGTATTGAAAATTTAAGAAAATAGGAAAAAAGACATGGGAAAGTTTCCCTGAAAATTGAGACTTTCGGGTAAAAGTGCTAATCTGTAGGTATTTTGCATGTAATTAAAATATCATAAACAAATTTAGTGAAGAAGATTATAAATAAAACAATTTTTTTTTTGCGGATTTTATTTTTCATTCACGAATTTTGAATTAACTTTTATTTATTTCTAACAGGGTGGCAACAATGCTGGTCACACAGTTGTAGTGGATGGCAAAGAATTCGACTTTCATCTCCTTCCTAGTGGTATCATCAACCAAAAATGTACATCGGTTATAGGTAAGAATTTATCTCTTTTACTACTACGTACTAACTATTTTTTCCAGTATATAAAATACTAGCGACTCATCCTCGCTTTGCTTGGGTTCGTCCCTAAATTGATTTCCCATACAAAATTTCATCCCCATTTTTATTCTTAATGAATTATTTCCGGGATAAAAAGTATCCTATGTCCTTCCCAGGGTCTCAAACTATCTTCTTACTAAATTTCATCGAAATCGGTTTAGTAGATCCAGAGATTACCCCCTACAATCTTAGAAACTCACAAACTTTACCTCTTTATAAAATTAATATAGATAAAATAATGTGTTCTGAAAGTTAGTTGCGTGCATAATATAATACCTTTATCTGTTAATTTTAAATAATATTATTACAATGCAAATTATGCTTAACTTTTTTACAGTCGTTATCTACATAAAATGATTTTTTTTCTATAGTTTCAAATTTTCATTTGGTATTGTCACATGAAATGCTCGAATATCTAATTCAAATAGTCATCCGGAAATTTAATTTTATGTACAACCAACTGTACCGATGCACGGCAGGTACCATGAATAAGGCATGTGCCCAACCATAGAGTATATTGCTACTGTGCCCAACTAATCGTGCTGCTCAAATTAATAGCATAGCCCGTTCCGATTTACGACATTCGTTTTCTTCGATAAACGAATTCGATTTTCATCCATTTCAATATCGTTAATAATTTGTCAACTTCAATTTTTTATTGGAAATATCGAAGAGAAAATTAAGTATACAGTCATGAGTTTTATCCGCACAAACTGAGAAACTTTACCTCTTTATAATATAACTAGCATTGCCCGCGGCTCCGCCCGCGTTCAGATGACCAAAAACCAAATTCTTAGGTTTTACATATTAGTATACTCTTACATTGCAATTATTGTATTTTTTCTCCAAAATGATATATTTTCCCGCGGTAAAAATTATCCTATATGTTGACCCGGATAACCAGCTATCATACCAAATTTCATCAAAATCTGTCCAGTGGTTTTCTCGTGATGCGGTAACAGACAGACAGACAAAAATTCTAAAAACTATAGATTCGGCCTCTGTATCGATAATAATGTTTATTTCAATAAGATTTTCCACTAAATATCTAATGTACAGATTCGGCTTAGTTACAATTTTATTATATGTATAGATATATCATGCTTTTAACGTCGGGGCATTTACGAGTATGATATGCATAATTCCATTGCAGTGGGTCTACGAATTCCGTCGCTACTCATTTGTCAGTTTTCGAACTTTATTCAAGGGCAATATCATAATTCGAACGTAACAATAATTGAAAATTGCACGTTTTTCGTTTTAACAAACAATATTGTCTTTCATTTTTAATGTCACGCAAACTTTGGAAAATTACGAACATAATGTCGTCGTTCATTTGAATATTATGAGTAATTTTTCTTGTATTTGACTTGCTAATAATGTTAATAATGAGATAGCTTCTGACAACAAAAGTTTCCAAATGTTAAGTAAAAAGTAGTTTTTTTTTCTGAAATACAATGAGTCAGTAAGCATTTTAGGTATAGTACATTGTTCAATGAGCTCGAGAGTTCGAAAATAAGCTGGGTTAATGTTTAAGCTATACACTATATAATAAAAAATCCGCAAACAAGCTAAAAATTTGAAAACTCGCTTAAAGATAACTCTTTTTTAATAATTGTTGGAACAAATTTTCATCCCCATTTTCGCTCCTTTAAGGGATGATTTTCAGGATAAAAATCCCATATCCTTCCTAGGATCTCAAACTATCTTCTTACCAAATTTCATCTAAATCGGTTTCGTAGATCCAGAGATTACCCCCTACAACCTCACAAATTCACAAAATTTACCTCTTTATAATATTAGTATAGATGATAACCTACTACCTAGTACCTAGATTTCAATGCATGTTTCTGTTCTATATGATATGATCTTTATTTTTATTTAAATTTTACTAAATTTTATTTCAAACGGTAGAACAGTTGGCATCACATGAGCATATTCATTCTTAATGTGGTTTTTTTTATAAATAAAGAATTAATGCGGTTAGATCAAGGTTATCATTTGCCATAACCCAGCCGGGCGTGAAGCCAAGAAACATATCATGCATGCCAGCGGTGTACCATGCGATTTAGTCCTGGCAACTAGCTCCGATAGTAAAATAGAGCATGGGAACAACCCCTTGGTTGCTGTGGTCTGCTTCGGCCCATTAGGATGGGGGAGGTTACGTTGGGATTTTGTGGATAGTACCTACTGAACCCGACATAACTGTATGTATGCATGCGTACATGCATTTCCCAACGTAAAAAAAGGTTATCCTTTGCCATGCTTTCGTTTTTCTACTCGTTAGAGCTACCAAATATTCCGGGAAACTACCACCCCAAGACATTTGTCATTTCTTCAAATATGTATGTTTTCTTAATGTATGCGATATCATAATAGGAGGTAGTTTTTATAAGAAAAAAATGTGTATGTATTTATTTATAATATTTTTCTCTCTTTGAAAACGAAAATTTAATTTTCATGAGTGATAGCGAATGTAATTTCATCTCGTTTAACCTCTTACAATCGTTTATTTGCAGTACACAACATGTATAAATAATAGGGTACTTACGTTTTAACGACACCGCTGTAGATTGGCGCCACTTAAAACCCGCTAAATCTGTGTGCGGTGGCGTAAAATAGATTTTTTTATATTCCATTAAAGGCCTCTCTCTCTATAATCCTTTAAATAATACAGCCGCAGCTGCAGATTTGGCGGGTTGTAAGTGCCGCCAATCTACAGCGGTGGTGTAAGGTTCCAATAATAAGTACCAATAATAGTTATTAATCTCTACAGGCAACGGTGTGGTGATCCACTTACCTGGTCTTTTCGAGGAGTTGAAGAAGAACGAGTTAAAGGGCATGAAGGAATGGCAGCAACGTCTCATCATATCCGACAGAGCGCATCTTGTCTTCGATTTTCATCAACAGGTAATTGTGTTTGGTATTGGTGTATATGAATATCTTACTAATATTATAAACTAGTTGACTTAACAGACCGTGTGACTTGTCCGCTACCGAATTTAAATTATTTTTTTCGTGAAAGATCACAAAGTTCGTACAAGAAAACAATTTCAGTATGTATAGAAAAAACAGCAAAGCAAAGCAAGGTCTTACAGCCCAAATAAAGGAAAAATTCCAAAAAATAAAAGAAGTTGAAAATTAAAGCAGATTTCCTAAAAATATGTACGGAACCTTCGGTGGGCGAGTCTGACTCGCACTTGTCCGGAATTTTATTAAAATAAAACGTAGCCATGACTTTAATAATATTGATTCTGAAGAAAAAATTCAATATTGGTATTCCTGAAAACTTTTTAAATCTTTTTACCGACTTTCAAAAAGAAGGTTCTCAATTCGTCGGAATCTTTTTTTTAATGTATGTTCACCGTTTACTCGAAGACGCCTGAACCGATTTGGAAATTTTTCTTTGTTTCGAAGGGTATACTTCCCAGGTGGTCCCTTTTAAATTATATCGAAAACGGTCGAGTGATTTAAAAAAAATCTGCAATAAATTATTTTTTTAAATAAATTGCTTAATCGAATATGTTATTAAAAAACTTTCTTCTTACAAATTACCTGCATATTACGTCTACACTAAAAATGGAAAAATAAAAACTTAAAAAAAACGACTGCCAGGCACTAAAATGTATAAAATTACTAAACGGGGGTTTTTGTATAGATTAGATACCTAATCAGATATTTTCGAAGTCGGTGATATATATGTACGTACATACATATAATTTTTATAGTTAGTCTGATAACGACAAAGCATGATTAAAAGCGGATAATGAATAAATACGTCAAAACATTCACTGTTATCCATATAATAAAAAAGTTATTTACATATGTATAACAATTTCAATATTTAAATCATTCTACATTTGATTATTATAAAGAGGTAAAGTTTGTGAGTTTCTGACGTTGTATGTACGTTGGGGGGTAATCTCTGGATCTACTGAACCGATTTAGATGAAATTTGGTAAGGAGATAGTTTGAGACCCTGGGAAAGACGTGGCTACTTTTTACCCCGGAAATCATCCCTTAAGGGGGTGAAAATGGGGATGAAAGTTTGTATGGGGAATCAACCTAGGGACGAACACGAGCGAAGCGAAGGTGACTCGCTAGTCTACCTATATGGCTGATAGTTACCGGCTGATATCAGTTTTGAAAAGTTAATTAATTCATATATACGTTTTGATACATAGTGCGAGTTCATTGAACTTAGACGTAATTGAACTAATAAACAAGAATTTGCTTACAAAGTGTTAGTGACTGCTAAAATTGAATCTAATTAAAATATATTCACATACACTATGCGTTCCTCTAAATCCGCTTTAAAGTTAAATTAAATTTTAATTTAGTGGTTTTGGTAGTGTATGAATTATTATATGATCAATATTATAAAATATGTAGCTCTTATAATAAGAAATGACATCATAGTAAATAATAATAGCAATTTGCAACACCGTATTTGTAAAGGGTTCCGTAGCCAAAAGGCTAAAACAAAACCTTTATAATATCGCAGTTTCCGTCTATCCGTAGGTCACAGCTATTTTACTCAGATACTAGATAGTGCTATAGTCAAATTACTATTAAATTAAAATAGTAATGTTGAAAATGATTCGCACATGAGAATATCAGACGTGCGAGACCGGGATTTGAACGCGCTTCACTTTATTTCCCAAGCGAGCGTGTTGCTACTGTACTATACCATAGATAAAAATAAATGCACTGCAGTAAGTTACTTAAATTATTATTATTTAAATGTTGACAGGTTGATGGTTTACAAGAGGCGGAAAAAGGCAAGAACTCGCTTGGCACCACTAAGAAGGGTATCGGTCCGACGTACTCGTCTAAGGCTACTAGAAATGGCATCAGGATCGGCGATTTGATGGGAGATTTCAATATCTTTGAGGAGAAGTATGTAAATGTGTTTTTTTTTAAATATAAACCTTAATTATTATAATTATATATCTTATAACAACAACTATTTAACTGTGGTATTTTAAATGAAACTCTCTTTTTGGAATTTCTCGCAGATATATTTTGATTTTTAGTTACCGACGTTTCAAATGTTTTACAATAATTGTGGTCACGGAAGAGAATAATTAATGAAAAAATAAATAACTATCCTGACAGACGTTTAACAATGTATAAAAATATATTTGACATTTCTTTGAGTTCACACCAAAATCCTACAGAAAAAAAAAAACAATTTAATTTTGCCATAATTTCCCGGCGCTTTCCCTCTCAAAACCTTATTCGGATTATTACGATTACTTTTTTGGAAAATCGGTCCAGTTATTCTTAAGTGATTTTATCACTAACGAACAGCCTTTCACTTTTATTTATATATAGATATAAATTTCAGGTTCCGCACACTAGCATCTAATTACAAACGCATGTTCCCGTCCCTCGAGCTGGATATCGAGAGTGAACTGGCCAATTACAAACAGTATGCGGACAGAATAAGGCCTTTGGTGAAAGATACCGTGTCGTATCTATACAAGGAGATACAAAATGGAAAGAAGGTTCTAGTTGAAGGCGCCAATGCCGCCATGTTGGATATTGATTTTGGTAATTATTTGTTTTATACTATATTAAACATTTATATATCTAATACCTTTAAACGAGCAATTCTTGTATATTTCTCGTATATTTCGGAAACGGCTCTAATGATTTCGCTGAAATTTTGTATGTGAGGGTTATCGGGGGTGAAAAATCGATCTAGATTAGTCTTATGTCTGGGAAAACGCATGTTTTCGAGTTTTAATGCGGTTTTCTTTCGCATTATTTCACGCAAAATATGGTCGCTAATTTCGCACGCTCGTGCTTAAGCCTCGTTCGTGATCAAGCGGCCAAGGCAAGATTTTTTCTTATTAGAAATGGGCTCACTCTTCACCTTCATCTTAGCTCGAAGACACAGATAAGGTCTACGATCTAGCGAGTTTGCCCAGGAGAAGCCTGTTAACACGCAACTTAAATAGATTCAGGTTATACGCACTCGGAAAAACAGATGCAGGCAGGGTATTCCACTTCTTGGCTGTGCGCATTATAATAGAAGATGAATAGCGCTTAGTGGGAGTTGTCGGAATGTCAACCAAGAAAGGATGGTATCCTGCAGTACGTGTGGTGTTCCGATAAAAGAATAACAAGATTGACAATCACAGGTATCCGGGTTCGAATCCCGGTTACATACAAAGATTAACTTTCGTTTTTTTTTGTATTTCGTCAAGTTTTTAGTTTTTTTTGTTTTTAAGCAAAATTAAAAAAAAATACTTTTTGACAATAACTCCGTCACCCAGGTACTGTTGTTATAAAGCTAGAGAGATTTTTTGTTTTTATTATTGTTTAAAAGCTCTTATTTCTGGAAACTCCCAGTCAGATTTATCTATATTTATATCACCACTAGGTACTTACCCGTACGTGACGTCATCGAACTGCAGTATAGGCGGCGTGTGCACGGGCCTGGGGATTCCTCCCAAGCTGATTGGCGACGTGCTCGGCGTCGTGAAGGCGTACACCACGCGGGTGGGCGACGGACCCTTCCCTACTGAGTTGCATGATGTGAGTTCTGGGTTTGATGTTTAATTTAATTGATGTAAATTAATTAAAAATAATCGATTAAAGGAAACACAATTTTATTGATTGTAGAATACTTCAAGAAATACTGTAATAATTCGGAATTCTTTCTGATAGTGTTTAATTAATTTATTTTTTTAATTTTATTAAATTAATTATCATTAATATAATATTTTTATTACGTACAATAATCCATTACAAGCGAATATACAAAACAAGTGCATGTGTGTGCAATTCACACACGGTAGAAATGAAACTTCAGAAAAGTAACCTACGAGAGAATGATGAGATAAATATAGAGTATCAGGAGTAGAATAATTTTAAGGTTTATTTTTTTTTTATAATAATTTTACTAAGTTTTAAAGTTATTTTACATTTTATTTGACATAAATATACATTACATATTATTCAGTAATAAATTTTATTATTTTTCCCTTACTGTGTAATGTATTCTATTTCAAATAATTAAATAAGGCATATTACAATCATATATTTATAGAATATCATATACGGAAAGAATACAATTTTATATATTTGTCGGACTATAACAACGGTTACCATGGCAACATGGCAATGTATTCTATCTCATTTTCTCGCCGGCTTAATCCTATATATTTTGTCTCTTTAGTGTCGCATTTTCGTTTCATCGAGTTTTAAAACACAACGATTCTGAAGAAGTTTCACTTCAAAAACAATTTTTTCCTCTTTTTAATATTAGTATATATTTTTATTTGAATATAGTAAATAATAAATATATGTAACTTTTGCAGGAGACGGGTCAGCTGCTGCAGTCGCGTGGCCACGAGGTGGGCGTGACGACGCGGCGCGTGCGGCGCTGCGGCTGGCTCGACCTCGTCGTGGTGCGATACACAGCCATCGTCAATGGATACACTTCGTTAGTACACTCACTCACAGACTTACCTGGCTGACAGACTAATGTACTTACGACCGATTTTCAGTGAGATTGAGATTATCCATTTGCACAGGAGATATTATAATGCACAAACTATAGGAAATACAAGTGCACTCTCTATTCCTACTTACTCTCATAGTCTGGTGGGACGACTACTAGACCCTACCGGTGAGAGTTAAGGCACAGGCACGGGGATGAGACACCGCCAACATCGTCACTTCGGGCTGTTATTGAGATTTACCAAATAGAAACACTCAATAACTAAACTTGGCCCGACCCGGGACTCGAACCCAGGACCTCCGGATGTGCAGCCGTACATACTAGACACTTCACCATCGAGGAAATTAGGCTGCTAGTTAATATGTGATAAAACTGAAGACTCAGAATGGATTTAAATAAAAACGGTTAATTTCGGTTTCATCATTCGTTCATTAACCGGTTAATAAAAAGGAATAATTTAGTAAACCGAGATAATAATTATTAACGGTTGTTCTTAGAGAAAGATTAAGCTTAGGTTTTGATACCGAAATAAACCGGTAAATCTATACAAATAATAAAATTGTAACTGAGCTGAATCTCTACATAAAAAATAATTTTTGGAAAATTTTATTGAAATAGTCATTATTATCGATACAGAGGCCGAATCTATAGTTTTTAGAATTTCTGTCTGTCTGTCTGTGACCATGGACCATCATGGAAAAACCACTGGAGGAATTTTGATGGAATTTGGTATGATGATAGCTGGTTATCCGGGTCAATGTATAGGATACTTTTTATTGCGGGAAAATATCTCATCTCTGAGAAATCGTCATCATCTATAAGTACATATTTTTATTTGTTTTTTGTTTTTTAGGTTATGTCTTACAAAACTGGACATTTTAGACACATTAAAGGAGATAAAAATAGGTGTAGCCTATAAAGTAAATGGAAAGAAAATTGATTACTTCCCCTCGTCAATGCCCGAGTTAAGTAACGTTGAGGTGAGTATCATTGATTTATATGTTGAATATAATGTCTTATTGTGTTATTTATACTAAAAATAATTAAACACGGTGTTGTAGGTACCTAGGGGTATTGAGGTTTTAATGTTTAGATCGTCAGAGAAGATCCCGCAACCTGTCCCTGATTTAGTTTTTGAGCCATCAGTGTATTCTAAGGGCCTTGCTGTCGCGACCTTCGTGTTTGTCTACCTCTAGCTCTATTTTGTATTTTTTGTCAAAAATGTATTTGATTTGGATCCCGTCATTCGGTGCTCCCATGAGCGGGATGTCTTTGGCTACGTCTATCAAAATTTTTGTATGTGGCGTGCCTGTTTTTCGTAGCAACTTCAGATTATCTAATCTTGTTGCGGTAGTCGCAGCCATTATTATTATGCTACCACTATTCTTGATTTTGCAATACAAATTGTAACCTAATATTATGAAAATTAAATGAATATTTATTAAATAGATATAATTAAACATTTCCAGGTGGAATACCTAACGTTGCCGGGCTGGGCGTGCAGTACTGAAAACGTGAGGGAGATGAGTAAGCTGCCCGAGGAGGCTCGCAACTATGTTAGAACTATAGAGGACTACCTACAGATACCTGGTGAGTTGTATTAAAATTATTATGTCTAGTCACATTGGACTGTTGTTATGTGTGTATGTATGTTTGTTTGTTACTTACTCATTACTTCACTTTAAAAGGCTGGGTGGATTTGAATGTTTAGTACACAGATAGACTGTGACCTGGAATAACTTATAGGTTTCTGTTAATTTTACAAACATTAAATATTATAAATAGTGAAAATAAATAAATGAAATCTTTTGCTATGTTTTAGTATATAAAGTCTTATAAAATAACATAGTAGTATTAATTACATGCGTCTATTGCTTTGTATTTAGCTTTAAAGAAAGTATTGATCATTTGAACAAATAAGCACTAAAACAATCGTTATCGTATATTTAAGTGAACAAAAATAGCCATAATTAGATACAGAAAACCCAGTCTGGGTTTATAAACTGTATCACTATACTTTTTATGTACTGTACGAAATTAAACTATTATTTCATACTTTATGTTGTTTTAATATTTTTATATTTTTTTCTAGTGAAACACATCGGTGTTGGACAAGGCAGGGAGTCCATCATCAATGCGGAATAACATTCGTCCACCATTCAGTTAGGAAATTATCTGTCTGTTTGTAGCATCTCAGAAGCTTGCCTTCAGTATTCTTGGTTATTTCACATTGCTCTATAAATATATACGATACTTTAGTATTGTCGAAAAATATTATGTCTGCACAGACAGTCATATTTTCAACAGATTTCAAAAAAAAAATTCTCAATTTGGTTGTATTGTTTTTAAAATATTTTTTTTTGGTATCTGCATTTTCATGCTTAAGTACATTTCAATAAATTATTTTACACAATATTGCTGTAAGAAAACAATAAGATAGTTTTATTTATAAATTATAATTGTTATTAAACCAAATCGGATATGAAACAAAATGTCTATATAAATTATTTTTTGAGCTTTGTGAAGTAATCAAGATTTCTATATAAATATTTGATTAGATGGTCAATTTAGAAACTAATGAATGCTACTAGTAAATCATAGGTGCCCAATAATGTAGGAACAGTATTCTATTTTATACTGTGCGCTAACAAACGATTGGTGTGTCATGGATGACATCCTAAACAATAAACACGCATATAGACAAATTCACTAATTTAACAGAAAATAATGTTAATAATAATCATTGGTTATAAAAATAAAAAGGCAGTAGTATGGTATGCTATGTTCGGGCTATTTTCCGCAATTCGACGACTATGCGCCTATTTTGAGTGTGTGGGAATTTAAATTCTTGTTATTCCTGCCATCCCAGTTCCTCCAGGAAGTTTAGCAGCCTCTTCGTCTTGTCGAAAATTTCTGGGAGTGACCTAGGGGTGCCAAGATGTTGAGCCCGGTACGCCGCTACACCTGGACAATACAAGATTACATGTGCATGCCCTTTAAAGTGGACTGTCAGTTATACCTATATTAAATAGATGTTTGTTATATGGTCCGTGGCCGGTTAAGGCCGCGGTTATTTGCCTGAGTTGTAGTCTGTTAAGTTTGATGATACGGTTCGACATTTTGGCATCAATGTTTGGAAGCGATTCTTTCGCCTGTCTGCAGTCTAAAAGGCAGTAGTAGCCCAGTGGTTATGCGCTCGCTTGGGGAACTGAGTGAAGCGGGTTCAAATCCTGGATCTCGCTCTTCTGATACTTTCATGTGCAAATCTTTTCCAACATGATTAACACTTGTCTTACGGAGAAGCAAAACATCTTGAGTGAGGAAACCTGCATGTCTCTGAAAACCTAGCAAGTTTTCGAAGGACATGCTCGGTCAGCCCTCACTTGGCCAGAACAGAACCCCTCGTATAATTAAAGGGAGACCCATTCCTAGTACAAATTAAAAAGGGCTGAACCAATGTATAAAGTACATTTTGTCTTTTTCACAATATGTATTTTTCATTAAACAAATTTTATTATAAATACGTTGAATTAATTACTAATCTATGTTTTATGTTACTCTTTTGCGTGTTTATTGTTACAAGGATGCAATATTATCGCTTAACTAATAACATCGCGTATAACATTGGAATATATTAAATTGATTCTGATTTTAAATCAAATTTTAATTTTAATTTGATTTTAAGAATATTATAAGTAGAAAAATTTATTAATATTTGTTTCAATCGAAATAAATCCACTCGAATTATTTAATATCGATTATTGTATTATTATTTTTAAAATAATATCATATTTGAAAATCGATTACTGCACATCGATATTGTTAGATAAGCGATTGTTTTATATGCAAAATAATCACTAGCCGAATTTATAAGTAAGGGCCTTGTCCAGTCTATTTAATAAATAAAAACTCAATTTCGAAGCTTTTTTGAAATTTAAGTGTTTTTGTTAAAAGTAGTTGAGTTTTTTTTTAATTTATTGACAATAATTTTAAAAGAGCAAATGAAAAAATAGTGTCTTCCACAGATAATTTTAGGTGCAAACAAAATGGAAAGCTTTGAACTGCTATTACAATGATCAACTTATCAAAAAAAAGTATTAAAAAAAAAACAAGGCACCCTTATTTAAAATATTAAATCTATTGCACTTATAGGTTTTTAACACCTCCAGGTAAATTTCTAAGATATTAATTAAAAATTCTAAGTAATCTATGGTTAACTGACACACCGGCGTGTCCGCGGTCGTGGAGGGATTAAAGTGAATATGTTACTGTAGAAGCCCGTATATTTGTAAATCTTAGGATTTGCCAACATAATATGGATAAGGAGGTAAGGATTTTATAAAAAGTATAGGATTTTTCGCGATTTTACAATCGTGAATACATGTTATTTGTTACCAACGATGCTTGGTAAAGCAGGGTTCTAATCCCCCAATATTATATGTGCTATAACCAACATTTGCCAACCGTCGTTGGTAAAACCTAGCATTTACCAAAGTCTGATGGTAAGAGCCCAAAAGATCGTCTATTAAAAAAAATCCTTACATTTAACAACTCATGTTGGTAAATCTAAGATTTAATCATTAAACAGTACAAGTACAGTAACAAATATAAATATTTCTTTAAAGGATAAAACTAGATTAAATTGACATTATGATGTTATTTAGATAGGTTTGAACAAAACCTTTTTTCAAATGCTTAGTAATTCTCTTCACAAAATCATGTATTGATTGAATTTTTAAAGTTTTGTACTTAAGCCTATATGAGAGGAAAGAGCTCATGGTGAAGAAAATAGAAATGTTATTTTTTTTAATATTAAAAAGAAGTACATAACGGTGATTTCTTTTTTAAATTTAGAAATTCAAGTTATCCGATGGTGCTTCATACCATGTTACTTAGTAACTAAGGCAATAATTTAAAAATAGATGTATTCAAACCACATTGTACTGGCTTTTTGCAGTTGACTGGCTTGGTTCCTAACATTTTTATATAATAGTATATATTATAACTGTCCGACTATAAAAAAAGTTAGGGATAATCTGTATGTACAAGGAAAACCAAAATTTACTATATGTAGTATTAAATATTTTGTTTTTAAAGTACTTTGTGAGAGACGCTTAATGTCATGGCTATTTATCTTATTAGAAATTTTTAAATTAAATATATTTTGATCTCTTAATTTCACTATTTTTTACATTTTCATAGTCGGATATGTTATATTTTAAAATATTTCATTGTATTTTTAACTAATGTTAGTATTTAAATATCGAGCACAAACGATAATAGTCTTTCTGATAGACATAGGTTTGTGCTTACTACGGAAGATAATTTAAAACCATATAAATAAAGAAATAAACTCCAATTATTGATGTACAGAAAATTATAAATTTTTTCTATGGCAGTTTTTCTTTGCTACTTTTTTACGGGACAGAAGGATTTTATTTCATAGCTTAAATATGGTTTTTTTTCTTTCTATGAATATATTATATTTGGGAATTTATTTACAATTAGATTGTCTATTTCTTTGTTGCATATGGTTTATACATTGCTGTAAAAGCTCGTATATTGGTTAATCTTAGGATTTGCCAACAGGAATTGGTAAATGTAAGGATTTTATTAAATGTAGACGATGTTTCGAGCTTTTACTTGGTAAAGCAATTATGATATTGTGAGTTCTGGGTTTGAAATTAAATAAAAAAGACCTAACCTACCATCAATAACCTACCATCAATCTACGTTATCTAGGTCGGACATCTATCTCAACAAGGACATAAACGCTAGTGTTTAGATAAACTAGGTTTTATCAACCATCGTTGGTAAACTTAGCATTTACCAAACTCATGGTAAAAATCCGAAAGGTCGTCTTTTTTATAAAATCCTTACATTTACCAAATCATGTGGGTAAATCCTAAGATATACTAGTTAAACCTAAGATTTACCAATATACGAGCTTTTACAGTGACATATATACATATATCATCCGTTGTCTGCCAAAAATGTTCAACAACACTTAATCTATTTTTAATATTGAGACGAATATTTTGTTACTTACCAGTATAACATTGTTTTAGAATATTTTTACATAATTATTTCTTTATCACTATGACGCTTATATATAAGACATTTTTTCCTCCATTTTGTAATATGTATCTCCCATTCCAAAGATCATGTAAACACTGTACTTACACAATTCTGATATCATTCGCTTTATTTTGACTTTTTTATGTGATATATACTTTAATGTAAATACTTCAATGGTTACTATTATGCCAATAAATAATGGTTTATTCTTTTATGTGTGCATTTATTTCGTATTGTCTCTTTATCGAACCTGCACTGTCTGTCTGTCTGTGTACTTTTAGTTTTTTTTATTATTTAGTTATTACTGTTGTTGACTGAGTGTTTGCGTTAACACGTCACGTGACCATGTCGATGACGACTTACACGAATTTACTCCCCATCCAAACCTGCTAGAATTTTCACTTCAATAATATTAATGTAGGTAAGAAAATGAAATTAAAATGACAATACTGGATAATTCTATAATTATTTCATTACTATACAGTATACATACATATTACATACTTAAAATATACATGCATTACCGTCATTAAAAGCCTATTTTGGGACATATATACATATATGTCCGAAGGAAATGAGTATCGGTGGCAATTGTTACAATAATAACATGTACATTTATAACTAAATGTATGGACAAATTATTTAATGAACACAAATCTTTATAACCGTATACATAAGAATTATATGCATATAGTATGGGAGCCCAAGATAGAATTTTGGGATTTACTCAAGCGCGGCAGATTAACATAAGAGGGATACCTTGCACTCTGTTGAGTACCTCCACCATCCTCTGCATAAGATCGCGTCTCTAGAGGAACCGATCAAAATATTTAGCCGAAGCCGAAGAAACAAAAATGGTGAGAAAAAAAATCGTCCGTAAACTTTATGGACAATTTTTGTTTACGTTAATTCGCCGAGCTTGAGTAAATCCCAAAATCCCCTTTTGTACCTATACTAGTAGTAAACTTTTATATTAATTTCACAATGACGAATTTTCAGTCAGAATGGCCAATTTTAGTAAAATTAGTCGATATCTTAATTAGGAGATCTTACATAGAAGCAATGACTACCTGTTCACTGAGTCAATAGACCTGTAACATCTATACAGATAAATACTAAACTGAAGTGTCTGTTTGTAACGCACTTTAATTATTACAAACAAAGCATGAATCCTCAAAAATTTTAATCCCACCTTGACAAAGGAACATCTTTATACGTGCTCCTTATAATTTGAATATAATATATTAATGCTTATTGCACATTTTTTTAAATTTCCATGTAACTTTATATGTCATACCAAAGACAATTTAAGCAATAAGAACGTATAAATCATCAAAATCGGTTAAGTCGTTTTGCAATTACGAGGGAACATAGGGTCGGACATACATACATACGTATTACGTACAGGACAAACGCACAACCCTCCTTTGTTTTTCACCGCAGTCGGGCAAAACGAGCTCGCACATAATAGTAATCTATAAAAAAATTCAGATCAGATTTTTTCATTTATCTATACTAATATTATAAAGAGGTAAAGTTTGTGAGATTGTGACGTCGTAGGGGGTAATCTCTGGATCTACTGAACTGATTTAGATGAAATTTGGTAAGAAGATAGTTTGAGACCCTGGGAAGGACATAGGATTTTTATCCCGGAAGTCATCCCTTAAGAGGGTGAAAATGGGGATGAAAGTTTGTATGGGTAATCAAGCTAGGGACGAACCCGAGCGAAGTGGGGGTGAGTCGCTAGTATAAAATATACATACATATTATATATATATATATATATATATATATATATATAGCATATTCCTATAAAATATACATGAACATTCTTTACTATTGTTTGATTAAGTCTCATTGACTAACTAAAACAATATTCATGTAGATTTACATATGTATGTAGCCGATGCGATAGGTAACATATTTACAGTCCATTATATATTACAGAATTCTTCTTAAACAAATCTTATATCCACTAAAATCATAGCAAAATAATTAATTTTCAGCAGATATAAAATAAAACATATTTAAATCATTGATATTTTCTATTAAAACTAGACCCTGTTAGATTGGAATAAGAAAAGAATTTAAGGAACATGAAGCCTTTAAATGCAGATTTGGGATGAAAAAATACTGCAAAAATGATCGAACACTGCGATGAGAGACAGTTGTTAGTTTATATAATCTGTACGTATAATAAAATTCTGAATAGAATCTGTACATTAATTTTTATTTTGGAAAATGGTGGATCTATAGTTTTTTAAATTTTTGTCTGTCTGTCTATCTGAGAACGCATCCCGAGAAAACCACTGGACAGATTTGGATATTTGGTATGATGATAGCTGGGTTATCCGGGTCAACATATAAGATACTTTTTACTGCGGGAAAATATATCATCTCTGTTAAATCTAAACAGTAAAACGTAACTAGGGTCGATCCCGAGCGGAGCGCAGGTGAGTGGCTACTTTATAATTATATTGGTTTTTTTTAGTAGTGAAAAAATGGTTACCACCTTACGGTGAAGGGTAACATCTTAAGAAACCGGTATACCTACTGCAGGTTCTCTCACCTAACTAGTTTTTAAAAGACATGTGAAATCCGCTAACCCGCACTTCGCCAGCGTGGTGGACTATGGCCTGATCCCCCTCGTATTGAAGGGAGGCCCGTGCCCAGCAGTGGGACGTTAAAAGGACAGTATTATTATGATATACATATAATATACGCCATATTAATATTATAAATGTGAAAGTTTGAATGGATGTTTGTTACTCTTTCACGGCTGAACGGATCTAGATGAAATTTGGCACAGAGATAAAGTCTAGAGAGAAGCACTTAGGCTACTTTTTACTCCGGAAAAATGTACAGTTCCCGTGGGACAGATTTTTTTGTTTTACATTAGGGACGACCCGAGCGAAACTTGTTTAGGTAGCTAGTACTTTATAAGTTAAAAAAAGATATATAGGGTCTGTTATTTTTTGTCTCTTTCTATTAGTAGAAAGTAAATGTCATTTTATCCTTATATTATTTGCCTATTGTAGTACATTATCGCTATGATAACCACAAGAGAATCTATTAATAAGCTTACAAGCCATGTTATTTTACAATTTAATGTATGTAACACATTTAAAAGACTATTTTTTTAAATTGTAACAAAATCTTTGTCGAAGGTGTCAATTAAATATAAAAATATAATATAATTTGTACTTGTACAAAAAAAATTAGGGCATTTTCAAATTCTTAGGACCCTGTAAAATATATTTTGGATTACAATTCATTATACATATACTAGATCTTTTTTTTAATTTGATAAAAATATCAGTCCATTGAGGGGTAATTTTATCAAATTTCAATTTTTTTTTAATAGTAAAAACTATATTACAATAATAATATTAATTGTCAATAATGCTTTCATTGAACCCGCGCAGGATCAGACTTACAACCTCTAACATAAAAGCGTTTTAATTTGTTCCATATCCAAATAAATTAATGAGAAAGATAAATAAAACTAGAATGAATCAAACAAATACAATTTACATATTAATCTCTACCATTGGGAGACATATCCCGAACCCTCTTATTCTTCTTTGGCGGTGCCCTGTGCCTGTCTCTTTTTCTGCTTGATGAGGAGCATGAGGATGAGGGACTGGAGTCGGGAGGAGACCCTGCTTCATCAGCTGTCAGTCCTATCTGTGACTCGGGAGTGGAAGGTTCTAGAACACTGTTCCTGAGAGCTCTACGTTGTTCTTCTGTGTGTTGTGGACACCGGGTGGACCTGAAATGAGAAGTAATGTAAACATGAAATTAAATGGTTTAACAAAGCAATATAATATGTTTTTTAGAAATAATGAAGTATTTTTGACCGCTTTCGACAACGGCTAATCTCACTGAGACTAGCTTAATGCGCATGAGATATTAAAGTGCAACGCGTGTGTCGGTGTAAGCGCAGACACAACGTGCACTCTCTATTCCTGTCACTCAAAATCCGATGGTACGATACTTAAGACACGACCAGTGAGAGTTAAGGCGCAGGACTGTCGGCTTGACGTCCTCTGCCTCAGCACGAGGATGAAACACTGCCAACTTCGAAAAACTGGGCTGTTGCTGAGAATTTCTTTAGAGGAATACTCAATAACTGAACTTGGCCCTCCGCATCTGCGGCCTTACATAGCCTCTAGACCATCGAAGCATTTTGGAAATAATAAGGTTCTCTTGACCGATTTCGACTAAGGCCAATCTCACTGAAACTAATTACTAACGAACTGAGAAAGAGATATTATAGTGGAAAAGTTTGTGGGAAACACAAGTGCACTCTCTATTGCTTTCAATCTCAAATTCCGATGAAACGACAATTCGACACTCGTGGTGCGAGATCTGTTTTACGTGGTCTCTGAGGCATGGTAATGAAACACAGCCAACTTTCCATCTCCAAGCTATTACTGAGAATTGCTTGACCGAAAAACCCAATGATTATACTTGCCCAAACCTGAAACTCGAACCTAGGATATCTGGGTCTGAAGGCATGCTTACTACAAACTTACGATAATTTTTTTTTATTAATTTTTTTTATTGATATTTAGGTCAAATTTGGATAATAAAATAAATACCTTCAGAGTGGAACATTTTTTTTGTTTCTTACTCAATATTATTACAGGTGTTTTTAAATGTTAATTGAGATTATTTCTGTACTTTAAAACACATGAAACGGGAATTATGAAAATATTGAAAGCCGAGGTTGCCACTCCTTAGATTCCTTAAATTCTTTGTATAAATGACAATTTAATTCCTTCCTATTGCAATAGTCAATACATTCGTACATTACCATGTGTTTCGACATTCATAAGTTATTTAAACTACAATATAGATAACAGTTTATTTGCAACTTACAGCAAACGGCATTATATATCAATAACAGATAACTTCACGCAAAATAGGCGCATAGTCGTCGAGTTGCGGAAACCAGCCCGAACATACCATACCATACCAACAGATAACTTGTTCAATCATTCACCTGTTCTGTGCAATAACAACTGAACTGATTTTGATGTAATTTAAACAAAACACAGATTGACTATGACCTAAAATAAGATAAACATATTATAGGGTATTGTGACCCTTATAGAGATGGACTTGAACAAAGCAAGAGTAAATCATTGCTAAATCTTTTACCTTCTTTATACCATACAAATATGAAGATAAAAACACATCTTAAATTATTATAATTGTATTTAAAGTTAGTTTTTATGTTTTGTATTAAAAGTCATTATTGCTATTAACACTTACATTATTCAAAGTCAAACATTTTATAACTTACCTTGTGCACAATTTTTTTGTATGTTCAGAAACCACTCCACATATTTGTAGTAATAGGTTTTTCTTTTCATTAGCAGACATTGTCTCATACGTTGCACCACCATCATTAGAATCTGAGTTATGGTGGCCATTGTTAGTCCTACACATAGGTTAAATGTTAGTAAATATTATGTAATAAATAAAACAACAGACAACAACTATGTGATGTATATATTTGGAATGTAAATGAAATTATTATCAAAGTCAAGGCAATTATTATCAAAGTCTTTATCAGAATTTTGTTTTAGAAAATTAATTTGTTTATTATTTAAAACAGTAATAATGAGTAGAATGTTGAAATTTAATGGAAAGTGATAGAGCTTATAAAATTTATTTACTTCCATATGAAATATAATAATAACAGGAGCCTTTAAATACATATTTTTACAGATAAAATAAAATAGCTTACTTGTGCACTTTGCTGGGCCGTTTATTATTATTATTCTTAATTCTGCGTTTCCTTCTTTCACTGTGTATGGATCCACCGGACCAATCGGCGTCATCTTCATCATCACTGAGCAGCCCTGCATAGGAGGTTGGCTCTCGACTGTTAGAAGCGATACGACGTGATGCTATACGTGAACTGTTGCGACCCATACCTAAATTATATAATTTTTATTTACGATTGTATCGGTACTAAAAATATAAAGCATCATCATTTTGTTACTAAGCAACCTTAACTTATCGGTCACTAATCACTATGGTTTGAATTAGAAAAGATAAATGGACAAGATGTAATTATAGCATTTCGTATGTGTCCAGTCATATCTCTTTAAATAGTTTTGTTTACATGAGGGCAAAGTAAGTGACTAGCTAATGACATTTACTTACCCATGCATTTCTCTAAGTGAGGAGCAAATCTTGTTGCAGATACAGGCCTCTCGCAGTTAGGACACGAACAATTCGAGTCTGGGGTCTTTTTTAAAATTGAAAACCCAAAGACATCACACTCGGAAGTGTTTACAATTTTAAAACCATCATCTTCCTCTTTTTCACCTTCGATGAGATCGGTCAAGCCTGTTTTTAATCCATGATGGAACTCAAAAAGCACCCCTAAAGTAACATCGTCATAAACACTTTCATATATAAAGTTAGCAGCATCTTCTGCGTTGCTCTCATTTTGCATAATCTCAAAAAACTTATTGTTCAAATCGTTCATACTCAATTCACTAACAATGGTATTCATTTTAAGTAATCAAAATAAAACAAATCAAAATAAAAAACCTCGACACAGCTCAGCTGACTGATAGCAATAACTGATATAGAAAATCAAAGTTGCCAGGTTAAAATTAAAGTTTTAATTTATTTTCATGAGATGTTGTAGATGTTTTAATTATTTCTGCTAAATGAATACATATCTTATATCATAAAATATTATAGTGAAATATATATAATAAAATAATATGTATATATAATCAATACAACCTAAAGACGACGCGTTACCAAGGATATGCTTTAGCCAAGGTTTGGCAGTAACACTGCATTACAGCCGGCCCCGCCCCTTTACGCTCCTTAGTCCGCCGCCGACAGTCACAGCGATAACATTGTCCGAGTTACTAGTTATAATGCCGTATTGTTCAGTGAAATGGTGTGGAAAATGTAGTTCAACGTCTAGTCTCACCAAAGATTTTTCATTGATAACATTTCACAGGTAAGTCATTATTCCATCATTAATCATTGAATTGAAAAAACATAATAATCACCCAGAAATGAAATAAAAAAGAGCTTGCGTTGATGTCTTTTTAGTTTTTTCACATCCTTTTCTTTTGTAGATAAACTCACATAACATTTCTCGCACGTATAAACTAGTGATGAGACACAATGTAAACATAAAAATTACGTTTATCGAAAAGTATAATTATTAAGCCTTGATATTCGTACAGCAGTCTAATGTTGTCTGTCTGTTGTTTTTTCCCGACTACTGAAGGGAGGGTTATGTGTTGGCCCTTATGTAACTATGTATAATGTACGAGTGAGTACGTATCACGAGGACTTCGAACATATGTTATCCTATTTATTTAATTTGTTGTCTTACTTTATTTTTAAGGTTTCCCACGTGCCCTAACATAAAACAAAAATGGATTAACGCTACAAAACGAGATGGAAATTGGTTTCCTGGAACGAACCACGTAATTTGTTCTCGTCATTTCACTGAGGATTGTTTCCGCGTTATTAGTGGAAATCGTCGTTTTCTATTCGAAACTGCCGTGCCTACACTAATGTTACCATGTTTGGTATGTTATTAACCATATTTATTTTGCACATGTTTTAATTTGGTCAAATTAAATAAATTACAGATTACTTTTTTTACTTTAAGGAGAGTCATCAAAATCTCGCGGAGGCATCTACTTCATCAAAATCCGTAACTTCGAACCAAAAAATAAATATACTGGCTACTCAATCAACTTCTAGTCTTAATGTAACATATATTTCGTTGACTGTACGTATTTAGGTTATTTATATTATTCCAAAGTACTAATGCCCGATTTCACCAACAACCCATAAGCTACCACCTACGTATGGGATCCCTAGATAGCTTAAAAGTCCCGTAAACTAGCCCCTAAATCTAATTTCGTTTTACGATAGTCTTTAAGCCCATATTTCGAGCACCTAAATTAAGGGGGGGGGGGGGCTTTTAATATTTAGGTGACCCCTAAGTGTCGGTGGAACAGAAACTGTACCCTAACAGCCCCCTTATTACTTTATTAACCATGCTTAGGGGATCCCTAAAACTTAGGTGACGTTGGTGAAATCGGGCATAAGCCTTGTAACCATTCTGTTATATCTAATTGATTATATGTTCCTTTATTCTATTGATAGGGTAGTGTTCAAAACATTCTTGCCTTGCCATCAACTTATGCGGAATCTGAAACTGTAAATCGAGATACATTAACACCGGTCCCTCAGCAAAATTCTGAGCAAACGACGACTGTACAGGGCAGTCATTGATCTTACACAAAAAGTTAAGAAAAAAAATGTTGCATTAAAACGTTTAAGAGACACAAATCGCATGTTAAAGCGAAAAGTCCAATCGTTGAAGCTGCTTCTAAGAGAATTGAAAAAAAAACAACTAATTTCACAAGAAAACTCATCCATATTAGCTGCTATAGGTCTTCAGAGTAAAGAGATTATAAAGCGTCAGGTCATGAATGCTACATCAGGCAAAGTTAGTCGTGTGAAATATTCTCCTGCCTTACGAACCTTTGCTCTAACATAAAACTTTTACTCTACAAAAGCTTATCAGTATGTAAGGAATACCCTTAATACTTGCCTTCCATCAATACAAACCCTGAGCAAATGGTACAAAACTGTCGACAGCCGCCCTGGTTTTACGAAAGCAGCATTTGAGGCCATCAAATTAAGGTCAGAGCAAGCTAAAACTAATTTCTATCGCACTTTAATATTTGACGAAATGAAAATTAAAAATAAAATTGAGTTTGTTCCGAGCACACGAAGAACATTTGGCTATGTTAATATTGATTCTGATTGTAATGATGAGTGCACTGATGCTTTAGTATTCCTTGTTGTAATGGAATTTTTAAAGTGCCGATTAGATACTTCTTGATAAATAAAGTAACAGCAGACCAAAAAACAAATTTAGTATGTCAATCAATTCAAATATGCAGCGAAGTTAATTTTGTAGTAAAAGCTGTAACATTTGATGGTTGCCCAACAAACATATCCATGGCAAAAAAACTTGGCTGTAACTTTGATCCTTCTAAGTTGAAAACTACATTTACTTCAAATAACTCAGAAATTGCAGTATTTTTAGACCCTGTGCATATGATAAAATTAGTAAGAAATAGTTTTGAATATTATAACGAGTTCTGTGACATTCATGGTCATGCCATAAAATGGTCATATGTACAAAAATTGCATAAATTTCAAGAAACTGAATCTTTCCATCTGGCAAATAAACTACGCGCACAACATTTGAATTTTAAAACTAATATTATGAAAGTGAAGTTAGCGACACAGCTGTTTAGTAGAAGTGTCACAACTGCGTTGTTATTTTGTGATACTAAACTACATATTCAGCACTTTAAAGATGTCACAGCTACTGCTAACATGATAATGTTGTTAAATGATCTTTTTGATATTTTGGATTCAAAAACACACGGGTACGGTTTTAAAAGAGCCATGAATCAAGAAAACTATTCAGAAATTTTGAAGTAAATGGAGGAAGCGAAATCTTTTATACTGACATTAAAGACCCTAATGTTAGTAAAAAAGGCCAGTAAAATAAATTATGTGAATTTGATACATTCTCCTAGGTATACAGGGTTTATTGGACTATATATTTGTATCGAAAGTGTAAAGTTTCTGTTTAAAAATGTAATTGAGATATTATATATATATATATATATATATATATATATATATATATATATTTAATTTATAAATTTTAATTTAAGATCAAAAAATTAATTTGATATCCAAAAATAACAACTTTTTGTGTATGTTTTAAGTTTTCACTTCTGTCGGCGGTCCTCATGACTGCTTTTTTTACTTTAGTGAGACGTTTACAATCTCAAATAATTTGTATAACAACTAACATGTTTTTTTATTATCCTGTTATACCATAATCGATTCGACTCAGTTATCGATATTGATAAATGAGTCTCGTCATCACTAGTGAGTTGCCACTAATATTGTTAACTTTGACATGTGTTTCAAAGATCCAATGAAAAATAGCCGACTTCCCCTGCACCATAGAATATATTGCTACATATATAAACCCTGCACCCCGCCACGTTTAGGCGATTTTGTTTTCGTACTAAAATTAACCAACCCTACCCCAGCCTGCAAATTTATGATATTCGCAATGAAAAAAATACTAATCGATAGATTTTTAATAGCTCAATTCAACTACGTAGCCCTTCCAAATTGCTCACCATTAATTATAAAATTAAAAATCAATAAAGTCCTTGAAAAAAAATAAATACTTAAATAAATATAAATAGTTTGAATAAATTTAACGTATAGATAGGTGAGTGCTAAGCATTTGAACATAAGATTTTGTCTTAATTTATCTGTTGGTATTAATTTTCATTTATTGGTAGATTCCAGATCTGTTCTTTATGTTATAATATTTGAAGTGGAATCACGTAATGTGAACAATTCATAAATTCAATAAATTTAAAGAAATCCACCGAGAAACAGAATTAAGACGTTGAATTGGAACGATTGTCCAAGCCCGCCGAGGCCGACCGACAATGCGCGGTGCGCATGCGCACGCTCACTTAAGAGGATTATGAACCTGTAAATTTTCATACAAAAAGCGATAACGTTTTTCCCCCCTTAAACATAGTCTAATTTTCATAATTTTTGGAAATGTTGTAGATATAATCAAAATCTAGGTCCGTACGTTTTTATTTTTTTGAAATATTGCGTACGACAGAAGTTATTAGCATCTAAATATCAATATTTTTGACCTAAAAACTTCCTCCAGCGTTTTTATTTTTTTAAATTAAACTAAACTGAATTACAAAAAAAGGAAAACGTACAGACCTAGATTAAGGTGTACTGAATCTAATGAGACCAAAATCGTCTCATTTCGTTAATGTTTAGGGGGGTGAAAACGTTATCGCCCGAAACAATATTTCAAAAAGGAAATGTAGGTAATTGAGTCTAAGACTTGCAACTCTCTCTATCGCACCATACGGGTCGGGGGCAGGGGCATATTTTAGACTGTAGTGATGTTGAAGGTGCTATCGATATTATTATCTCCTAGGGAGGAGAAGGTAATATCGATATATCGATCGATACTGAAAGGATTCAATCCAAAGTTTAGAATTTTATTATACTCGTATGTATAGATTGTAACTAAGCCGTATCTGTACATTAAATATTTTTTGGAAAATATTATTGAAATAAACATTATTATCGATACAGAGGCCGAATCTATAGTTTTTTGAATTTTTGTCTGTCTGTCTGTATGTCTGTCTGTCTGTTACCACGTCACAGAAAAACCACTGGAGGGATTTTGATGAGATTTGGTATGGTGGTAGCTGGTTATCCGGATCAACATATTATAGCATTACCGCGGGAAAATATCTCATTTCTGAGAAAAAATACAAAACTGAAAATATATCTTATATATTTAAACGAGCTATTCTTGTATATATATATATATATATATCTCAATATATAATCTGAATCTCGAAAACGGCTCCAACAATTTTCATGAAATTTAGTATACAAAGGGTTTCGGGGGCGATAAATCGATCTACATTAGTCTTATGTCTGGAAAAACGCGTGTTTTCGAATTTTCATGCGGTTTTCTTATGCATTTTCACAATTTTTGCATTGTCAGTTGTCACTTCTGGTGGGTGGGAGCCTTGGGAGGCGCCACTGTACAACTGTCAATATCGTGTCCGTATTTACATCAAGTTTAAAAATATTTAAGTGGAAATAATCTAAAGAAAATGATAAATTCTAATTAGTTTAATAATAATTTTAAGAAATATTAATCTATAAACATCACCAAGTCTTGATGTGTTGAAGAACAAATGAGCTTTTCAAAATTCACCTACCAAACAAATACAAAAGTGAGAAACATAACATACAGATACTATCAGTGCAAAACCATCTTTTCTGTGTGTGATGACAATAAAACAAAATAATTTGTGAAGTGGAAGCGTAAAATATTAAAACATACGTTTATAACCTCAAAAACTAATACTCTGTATAAAATTGCAATTCAACTAGGTATAATTGGTGCTCTTTTCCAATCAGCTTTTCTACTTCCGACTTCACACTTAAGATGGAGGAGATAAAAAAGTTGCTAATAAACATGCAACAAGAAATAAGACAGCAGAAAACAGAAATGTTAGAAATGAAAGAAGACATTAAAAATACAATCAACAATATAATATACTTAAATGAGAAATTTAAACACTTAGAAATAAAAAAATCCTCAATAAATAATTTAGAAAGACATATTAGGCGCAAGAACTTGGTTATGTTCAGAGTAGAAGAAGGTGAAAAATCCTATCATGAACTAGAGGAAAAAATAGTCTTAAACAAACGCAAGGAGTTACAAGCCCAACTGAAGATAAAGAAAAAGACCTAGGCAAAACAGCTTTCTTTAAATATGACAAACTAATTATTGTGGATAATAATAAGAACACTTCTCGCCAATACTCAAATAAAAGAAGTCTGCCTGTATCTCCAGAAACGCCTTACTTCAATTATAAACAAAAACTAACAAATAAACAACATACAAAGAAAACCATACCTGGTAATATTAAAGACTTTATATTACAAAAACCAAAATTAACTTTCAACCACACAAATGATAACCAGGAACAACTAAAATCAACACTGCAAGATACAGTTTATTAAACACAGTAGGAACCTCCTCATCTTTATCCACCAGTACGGCCGGTCACTGTGGGGGAGTTCGACCATAACCCTCCAAAGAAAAACAGACATAGGTACAATGAACAAAGGTATACATATCTTCACCAGAAAAACTTCTAGAATTAAAAGCAGTATTTACTACAACAAATCAAAAGAACACAAAGATAAAATTATGAACTTGATAGGCATATCAGAAACAAATTATATATTGAAAACAAAATTTGAAAAGAAACCCTTTGCAATCATACAAGCATAATCTCCAACGGAGAGCTCTATGCAGGACTACTTTGAAGGAGGCTTTTAACCGAGAGGGGTCTATACATGAAAAAGACATTTACTAAATAAATACATTTAATTATGAAATTAAATACCTAATTTCTAACTATTGTCAGAATTAATGTATGGAAAGAAATTTTATTTATATTTATTATTGTGAAATGTTTAGTATTTACTCAATTGAATTATTTAATTTACTGTCATTGTTTATTTATTCGTTAATAATAATTTATATATATACAATATAATTTCAAATAATATTAAAGATTTTTAAAATAATTTAATTACAGATTACAAAATTATTA